GCGTGACATCACTCCCGTTTCCCTGAACATCTGCTTTTCTGAAAAGCAGCAGTTTTGTCACATGAATTCCTCGGATTGTGGAAACGTTTAGAGAGGTGAGGATTCAGCTGTCTGCAGATTCTTGGAGGATGAGAGCCGAGTGTGTGTTGGACTTGTTTCCTCTTCCTCTGTTGTTTCCTGATGAAGACGTAATGATGAAGACGCGGCGTGGAAAGAGAAAGCGTCTTTTTTATTTTTTTCTAGTCGGTATTTGGTTGTTGTTGTTTTTACGTTGGGATGCGCACACATTACCTTGAAGCACAGAAAATAAATCACAGCTATTCTGATAATTGATTAATTATTTAATCACATGATATTCATGTAGCAAACGTTCTCTGGTTCCAGCTTCTGAGTTTTAGCTGCTTTTTCTCTGTTTTTACATCGTTGTAAACTGAATATCTTCGAGGTTTTTGACAGAAATTGAAGACTTTACTTTGACATTTTATAAACTAAACAATTCACTGGTTAATCAGAAAACGGGCAGAGAGGCGGACGGACAGGAAGAGAGGTGAATGGATGCAAACATGAAAAAGATGGATTCAGATATTTAGAGTAAGTGATGACTTTGCACGACCTGCTTCTGCTTCTCCCTTTGTTTTCATATTTGGCTGTGTAAACGCAGCGTCAGCACATTCCTGCCACCCACCTTCACAGGCCTCCTCCTCCTCCCCCTCCTCCAACACAGAGAAACTAAACAGCTGAAAAAGACTCATAAGTCACATATAAATATATATATAGTTTATCATGCAATCCTCCGAATGATTGGCATTTTAATGAAATGTCAATCATTAAAACAGAATTTAATTTAGAAGCTTGGGAACGTACTGAACCTGGAGACAGGAGGCAAAAGAGTTGGAGATAGAAATGAAATGAGGGACGAGCTGGAGGAACATTCAGCAGCTAAAGAGCCGGATATTTCCCTCGGGAAGTGGTGGAGACCAAAAACGGAGCTAAAACAGCGGGAATACTGGAGTTGGATTCATCAGGTGGAAACGAACACCACTGCACATGATCATGTCGTTCTGTAAAGGTTGGATGTGGAAAGAAGGAAGTGTTGATGTTGCCCAATGTTTTCCGCAGTCACCAAGTGGCCAGAAACATTAGTTATTGCAGGTTTCAGCGTAAACAGTTTTGTTTTTCCAGTGATAATTAGTGATTGTTTTACGACCGCAGCCTGTTAAATGATGTTAAATGATGATTGAGGCGAAATAAGAAAAAGACAAATAACAAGTTACTTGAAAGTGAAGAAGTGTAAAGAGAGATGGAAGTAAGAAAATGGGGTTCAGACACAAAGAGGACAGAGTGAGCATCGGATGAGGGGAGAGAGAGAGAGAGCCGTGAATGTCTGATGTGAGTGTAACTTCGACAGTGAGAAAAGGAGGGAAACGAGGAGAGGAAACGGGAGATGCCAGTCCACGGCGACCCCGGCAGGTGGGGTCAGCAGTTAACAGCTTGTCGGGTTGGAGGGGGAGGGGGGAGATCAGTCCGTCAACCTGGCAGCCGGACGTGTCATTAAACAAACCTGCAGCCTCACTGCATCCATTTAAATTTCAGTCCTTCCACTTAATTAAATTCATTTTCCAGCACAGATCTCCTGCCAGTAGCTGAGGCCGTGTCAGAGATGAACACGGCCGCGATCCAAATTCAAAGACATATTTCTCTGCTTCGCTCCGCGCAGGGCAGCGACCCCCGACCCCGTCACGTGGCTGCAGGGAAAATATGAAGAATCGTGAGATAATTAATGGAATAGAAAAGTATTAAAAAACGTCCTCTACACACCTACGTCCTTTGGCTTCAGTGAAGAGGATAAACAGTGCGGCAGCTGTGGAGCAACTGTTCCCCTTAAACCCACAATGTCACAACACAGATTCGTCCTCGTCAAAGTACGTCCACTGACGGGCTGAGGTCGTTATTCTAAGTGTCTGACATCAGGATGGATTAAATTCCTCCAGAGAAAGACTTTTTTTTAATTTTATTTCAAAGCCACCAGACTCCATTGACAAAAACAGTGATTTCAGCTCGCAGAGCGCAGGAGCTGCTGGTCGATCGCTGCCTCCGCTGGGCAGTTTGTTTATGTTCTGGTGTGACCTTCAGCGGTGGAAGAAGTATTCAGATCTTTAAGTTACACACAGTAACACAAACGGTCTGACCGATGGAGGCGGAGGTTGCTCGGCAACTCTCGTGTTCCGGGAGATAAAATTACTGTTTTTGTCAATGGAGTCTGGTGGTGGTGTAACGACTGTTTCTGGTTCAACAAAAAAAACACTAATAATGATAGCAGTACAATATATAATAATGTAACATATAATATAATAATATAATATAATAGGAATCTGCCTGTCATTGGCAAAAACAAGCACTTTAGTGGACGTACGCTCACATGGACAGGTGCAGCTGTTTACATGCTTCAGCTGTTTTGTGTTTGCCAGGTTTAGTGTTCTTGTTCTGTACTTCACAGGTATATATATATATATATATATATATATATATATATATATATATATTTATTTATATGAATGAGCAGTGGCTTAATGCAGTGTAGTGTTGTGCAGCAGAACAGAGTCAGGGATATATTAACACAAAGCTCAAGTGTCTCTTTGTTTCACGTCAGAACATTTCAGCTCAAAAGTCCAATTTAAAATCCGTTTTTCTCCTCGTGTGTCGTCTGTGGGGACGGAGTCGGGGAGTCGGGGAGTCGGGGAGCAGCTGCACACCAGGAGGCGTCTTCACACGGCACAATTTCTACAAATGGCGACATCAGTAATTAAACTGAGCGAGAGAGAGAGAGAGAGAGAGAGGAAAACATCCACGGCGCAGAGGCTCATAAGGAATACATATTAGACTACTTGTACGATCAGTGTTGTGACATTATGCTGCCCTGGCATTTAGACCTCTTGGTTTTTAAATGAGAGCGCCTCATCGCGGTGTTAAAAGCTCTGGCAGGCATGAATTAAAGATGGCAGGTAGTGGAGCGAGGGCAGGGGTGAAGGTGATGTCTTCATATGATCTTTGCCACCTGATCCCCGTAAACATAATAATTAAACAATCCAAATAATGAAATATAAAGTATCCAGGATGAAGTTTGGGAGATGAAGTTGAAATCTGCAGGAAATGCAAGTAAGTAGAGCTTGAGTGAGGATTTTACTTCATCAAACCACCGTTTCAAACTTTCACACGGTGATAAATCTGTAAATCAGAGTGACATAGTCTCTCTCTGAGTTATTTTCCCAATGTGTCCTTGAATGCACCGCGGTCACACTGACATAAAAGTCCAGAGCTGAGGCCGGGGCTGAACCTCCGACCTCGCGGCAGATTAATGCGGTACATTTTATCTGGCCCCTCTGCGATCGGGTCACTTCTTTTGTCTACAGTTATTGAGCAATTACCGTTCCTCCACAGAGCTCGCTGCCAGCTCTGGTTTCTGTCAGCGCCACCTCTCACCCAATCTCTCTTTCTCCAGCTGCCAATAACGCAATTACTTGCTTGAAGAGTCAGACAAGGTCTGTTCGATTAAACCGAGTGTTAGTCTGCAGGTGAATAAGCAGACTCCTTTTATCCTCAAGTGACAAATTTATGTTTACACCGATCGATTGCTCAATGTGTTTAAAAGAAGAATAAACTTAAATTCTTAAAGGTTCATATTTTCTTCTTCTTCTGTGTTTTATTCAAAGTGTTGATCCAACAGAAGATATAAAAACCATCTCAGTGTAGTTTTACATCTCCTCTCTCAGGCTTCTCTCTGCAGCTCTAGTAACAACGGGTCGGTGAGCCAATCAGAAGAGAGGAGGCTCTGAGCCTCTCTTCTGATTGGCTGACTGTTTTCTGAGTGATCCAATAAAAATAAAGCAGATTTCAGGTAAAAACACTCAGAGAAACCAAATCCTGCAAGGTTTGGATGGTGGGTCCAGGTGGGCGGGGCTTGGTGACTGCTTTGTTGTGACATCACAAAGTTCCAGAAGTCCTGACGGCTGGTTTTAAGGCTCAGTTTCTGAATACAGGCTGTGTGCATTTCTCTGTGGACTGAGGCTTTGATACTTTCACAGTATTAATATAGAAGCTAGAGCTGATCTATAATCACACTACACATGGACACAGACCTTTACACTGGAGGAGCTTTAAGTTACACACATTTAAAGAGGCAGTGCTGAAGTCAGAGGTACATCACCTTTTTTTATGACCTTGTGATTGACAAGACTTTATATTGAGCCTCAGTAACAACAAACTTGTGCCTTTAACAAAAAGGTTTGGTTGAGTTTTCTTAATTTTATACAGTACTTTTCCTTTACAGCTGCAACTATTGTGACTATTATTGTTTTTATCGTTGATGAAGATATTCAGTTTATTTATTATTATTTATTATTTACATGTGAGAGGCTGTAACAAGGTGATATCCGTGTGTGATATCTGCATATGAGAGGAGCTGCCCGATCAGACATCAGAAAGATTTATGTGAATTTAATACTGAACCATCGTCAGGTAAATTACACTGTGAAGTTTTATGAATATCTTGAGCTCAAACTTTGCTCCCCTGCGGCATCTTATGCGACTGAAAGCTCAGGAAAGTGAGTAAGTGGGCCTTTGAGCTTAGATTATTTTGTTACAGCCACTTTAACCATTCCCATTGCCTGTGCTGAACCGTCAACCCCTCCTCCTCCCTCTGTGCTTCATCTTCAAGTGACACTTGAACTCCAACCACTGCTCCACCTCAACTCGACTCTTCAGCTTGTTGAAGTGGTTCGACTTAAACTGGTGCTCCCAAACAACATTTCACAAACTGAGAGAAAAATAACCTTTTCAGACATTTGAACCTGTTTCCAGAAGCAGTTTTTAACTTATTGGTGTCTCGCGAGTTTCTTTAACCGCTGAAGATAAATCGAAGCTACAACCAGTCAGGACACATTATGACATTAGTACGTTTATTTTGACCTTTTTGTTTTCCTCCCTGTGCGTGTTTCCTGCAGAGTGCCGCTCAAAGTGGAGCAGGCCAACAACGCTCGGGACGCCCTGGGGAAGGCCGTGTACAGCCGCCTGTTCGACCACGTGGTGACCCGGGTCAACCAGTGCTTCCCCTTCGACTCCTCCGCCAACTTCATCGGCGTCCTGGACATCGCTGGTTTCGGTCAGTTTCCCTTTAAAACCCGACACTGACTCTGAAAGCTGCAAGTCGCTTTCTTTTGAAAAATAAATCAAATTGAATCTTGGTTTACACACAACTCTTCATGTTTGCTTTGTGACAGTTGAATATATGGGATATATACACACACACACACACACACACATATACAGTATATGTCCTGAGGAGTTGACAGAGTAAGTGTATTATTTGATTCTTGCAAAGTGGCAGAGAAGAAAGAATAGAGAAGAACAGGAAGTTGGCATTACCTGGAGTACTGTGCATGTTCAAAGACATTGTAAAGGCCGCACATTGCACAGGGATCAAAGCAGCAGCTACAAGGTGCATGATTTCCTTAAAACAATGAAAGTTGTGATTTATTTTGACGGTGGCGCAGCATCTTTAACTGTCTGCTGCTGTTTTTTGTTTTATTTTGCAGAGTACTTTGAACACAACAGCTTCGAGCAATTCTGCATCAACTACTGTAACGAGAAACTGCAGCAGTTCTTCAATGAGCGCATCCTCAAAGAGGTGAGAGCGAGAGAGAGAGAGAGAGCGAGAGAGAGAGAGTGTTTTCATTTCATGTTGGGGAAAAAAAAACCCAAAGTCAACCACCTCAGATCCATCAGCCTGCACTTACAGACGCCTCCTAATCACAGCAAACAGCTCGGGACGACCCACGACTTTGATTTGTGCTTTGATAAAAGTGTTTTTCTTGTTGCAAGCACTTATTTTCTAAGAGGGACTGTCCATCTTTAAATTGTAGATTCCTCCTTTTTGGATTAAAGTATTTATTTTCCAAAAAAAAGCCAGACACCTCAAAACATAAAACCTAAACTTTAATCATTTTCAGAGGAGAGGGTTTCATTCCAAAACATCATTTTTCACTTATGAATGAAAGCAAGCTTCATGATGATTACTGTTTATGGCAGGAAAAAAAGTTGAAACAGTTTTTATATGACGAAAAGCTGCAGAAACACGAGCGTGAAAGTTTCATGTTGCTTCTTTCGTAACAGCAGTCGTCGATATTTTTCTCTCAAATTGTCGTCATCTTGTTTTTTCGGAATTAAACTGGCGATTCACCGACGTCTCCCAACACCCAGACAACCATTATCCAGGGTCAACATTATAAACCGACGCTGCCCAAGTCTAGAATCTTCCAAACACCACATTTCTGTTTTGGAAAATAATGATGCTGGATGTATAATTTTGTTGTGGCTGAAGGATTTCACATAATGAACTAGACGGCTCTCGAGCGCTCGATCCTCCGCCATGCAGCGGCAGCCCGGCGTCGACCTTATTGTGTTTTATTGTGTTTTGATTGTGGGAAGAAATGTTCAGCTGATGACCCTGAGGTCTCACACGTCAGACCTCAGTTGTGTGAATGAAGTTCATTTTGCAGAAATGAAGGTTTTTGCATCAAATTCAAGACAAAATCCGTTTGAACTTTGTTGGAAAAACACCCTCATTTACTTTTCCCCCCCGAACATCACATGTCTCATTTCACCTTAAATCTCCTCGTTTACAGACTTGTAGTTGTTGGCACATGGAAGCGTAACGGCAGAAAACCTGGTCTAAGAGCCATTTGTTACTGAGCTCGAACGCCCTTCAGTAGGAAGTCGTTCCCCGTCCTCGTTAGACGAACGCCGCGCCGCCGCAGATATCGTTATTGCTTCTCATTATGAATATCTCGTTTATGTTCCAGGAGCAAGAGCTGTACCAGAGGGAGGGGCTCGGAGTCAACGAGGTTCACTACGTCGACAATCAGGACTGCATAGGTATGAAGACGCCACTCAACCACATTTGTGTTTCCACGCAGAGGTGCTGCATATTTATTAATTTTTTCTCTTTTGTAAAGGTTAGGTGATAACTTTATAGAACATTATGTGCGTGATGAGACCAACTAGGACACGAAGAGTTGGGTCTCCTCGCACCTTCCTGAACAGAGTCCCATTCAAACTGAATTATCAAAAGTCCAGATGTTGATTGAAATTAGGAACAAGAATGTAAATCTGATCGGGCAACTTTCAGCTTTTGATCCTGTGAGCTGAGGTTCAACTGGAGAGACTGGTTTCTTCTTCTTATCATCATCATCATCGTTGTTGTTGTTTAGGGTCTGACAGCGGTGAGGCAGGAGCTGATGTCAGGATTGAGAGTAAATGGTGAAACTTTCTGACTTTTGATGTGATGTGGGACTTCCCTGTCTCATTGTGGGTCTTCCCTGGTCTTGACTCGGGACTCCACAGCCCAGACTTGAGACTTGGTTCTGACTCTGTATCATCAGCTGTTGTATTTCATCCTGCGTCGGTCGGTTAGATCGATCTGTCAATCACCAAATCTCTCTTCAGTAAACCCTTCTCCAGCCTCTGCCGGAGGTTCTGGAGTGTTGTTGCTGCTGGTTTTACTTTGTAGTATTTGTGTGTGTAATTTCCTCACAGCGGGGTTTTTGAGCTGATAATCCTCTTGAGCTCATACAGAAGGAGGCAATATTGAAAGTTGTGTGTATGAGCGGGAAGCATGCTGCTCATTATTGGCTTTAACGCGCCGCTGGCTCCGCGCCCTCTGTTCTACGATGGCGGCCCCTCCACAGTTTGACCCCGGTGTCATGGGGCGGAATAAAGAGACAAAGTGTTGAAGCCTCCAGAGTAGGAATCCCTGTGCTGACTGAAACGTGTCTCCATCACTCCATGAACAGGGAGGGAGACGGGTGAGAGGTGGTGAGAGGTGACGGAGGTTAATTATGCTTTTTGCTGATGTCCGGCTCCGTGAAACAACTTCAATATAAGATGCTTAACTACAGCGGAGTCGGCTGAACGTATTTGTTTGTTTGGGTTCCTGTTGTTTGCTGTAAAAACCTGCGGCTACTCTCCGTCCACACGGAGACCAGAGAGAACATAAACATCCCACTTGATGTAGCGGAAAATTAAATCCACAGAGAGTGAATCCATGACGACGAGCAACACGGAGCGGGAATTAAAACAACCAGTGCGAATAAAAACTAGTGCCACATCTTACAAACACAAAGTCCCTTCACAGAATAACTTTGTCCCAGTGCAAGTATAACTCACACATTCATTCATTCATTCATTCATTCATTTACCATAGACTTGTATGGTTCTACGAATGCAATTGGTTTATAATAGAATGAATGATAATAATTGAATATTGTTCAGTAGATGATCATTCATTCATTCATTCATTCATTCATTCATTCATTCATTCACGCAAACTCATAGATGAGTTTCCACTAGCTAAAGTTAAAATTCATTCATTCATCCATCCATTCATTCATTTTTTTATCAGCTCATTGAAAACTGTTTCAGTCGTTCAAATTGTTAAAACAATTTAATTCATTCATTCATTCAATAATTTGCTCATTCATTTATTCTTTAAGTTGTAGCAGGGCATGTGTTTAATTCACACGCTCATTCATTAGTTGGTACAGTTTTCCTTCAGCTCGTATAATATTCTCTGTCAAAATTGATTCACTCATTCATATGTCCTTCCAGCTCAGAGTAATGTCCAACGATTTCAACTCATCCATTCATTCATTCATCTAATAATTAATTTGGTTTCATTTCATCCAATAGAGATGAAAATAAAGAAATAAAGGTTGATTACAGTTGATTGATTGATTGATTGATTGATTGATTGAGGTGGAGGAGTACACGGAGGGATGGAGGGATGGAGGGAGGGATGAAGGGATGAATGTGATGTCTTGTGGGGTTTTCAGGAGAACATCTGGCGGCTGGTCAGAGCTGAATCCACAGAGCTGGAGGCGGCGGCGGCGGCGGCGGCCTTGTTTAGCCGGGTGGAGTGAGTGTGTGTGAACGTGTCAGTTCACGTGAGGAATCTTTACTCGCAAAGACTTTTATTTTGAAAAGCGACGGTAATGCCGTCTCCCAGGTGACACCTCGCATCGTCCTCTGAATCTGTGAATCACTTCCTGTACCTTGACTCCAGCAGCTCAGGTGTCGCAGCAGCTCTTCAGTATTTCATTATTCACTTTCAACAAGTCCAGAGTTTTAATGGCAAAGATACGGGACTTAGGGAAACTCCTTCTCCTGATGTCACACTGATAAAATAAAGCACTTTTGTTCCTCTCAGGTGTATTACACTGATACAGCAGTAATAATCGCAGCCAGGTGGCATCATCCCGTCACCTTTTGAGTCAGACCGGGTCAAGGAGAACCTGTTATGATCTCCGCGCCTCTTCCCATTCGATTAAACTTTAATTTAGATTTTTAATCATCTACATCACCCCTCCAAGATTTAATGTGTGGCGTCGCCCGCTTGGCCCTCAGGTGGTCTGCAGCAGAGAGGCGTCGTTGCTTTTTTCTTTTTTTCTTCCTCACTCGTATCTAACCCCCATGACTCTGTCCACAGACCTGGTGGAGGCCAAGCTGGTCGGCATCCTGGACATCCTGGACGAAGAGAACCGACTACCTCAGCCCAGCGACCAGCACTTCACCGACACCGTGCACAGCAAACACAAGGACCACTTCCGGCTGACGGTGAGTCACTGGACACAGAGAGGAGGAGCATCTTCCTTTAAAGTTCATGGGAGAAAATTTAAAATCGGATCATCGGAGCATAATGACCAGTTTCATATTTAATAGAGGTTAAGATCTTCTGCTTTCCTTCTTAATGATGAGACGCAAGAACAAGAACAAGTGAATAAAAGGCGATAAAAATGAGAGATATCAGCGCTCGCAGGCTCGGCACCATAAAAACTCAAAGCTCTCTCACCAGATGTTTTTGTTCTGCACTTTCGAACAACTAAAAGACTTTTCCTGATTCATATGCTGCAGAAATGTCACGCATATAAGCTGCTGCGAGACCACCAGGTGCTTCAAACACCAATGCAAGACCTTTAAAATCACCTGGCAGAGCGCTAACCATCAAGGCCGAGTCCTTGTCACAGCAGCACAGGGTTGAATCCAGCTCAGGCCCTTCGCTTCATGCCCCGTCTCTCCTCACTAAGTTTCCTGTTTCATAATATACGTCATAATAAAAAGAAAACTATAAAAAAGATATAATGTGTTTTCTCTCTGCACAATTTCTTTCAGCACATTCAGTCGCTAAATGGCTTTTTTTTTGTGGGGCTGAGCGGATAGGAGAGCATCACATCATCTCTTCTCTGTGTGTCGCTCAGACTGAGGGAAACAGCTGCACTCATGTTTTACAGCTGATAAAAGCAGATGTGGTAACACACACACCTCGTGAGCCCTGACGGTTAATTCAGAGGCAAAAGAAGACGCAGGGACGTGTCGCCTGTTGAAGCGTCTTTTCTCCCTCTGAGCCTCAAGAAACTAAAACTACGATTTCATCAGCATCAGATTTCTCTTTTTTTACATTTATAAAATCATATAATAAATCGCGAGACAAAAATGATTTTAAAACGTATATAAAAGATATAAAATTAGCTTTTAAGGAGGAAATTTTAACCAATTAAGAATGAGGTTTCCACACGTTGACTCCTGTATCTGACCCTGTGATGCTAACTCTCTCTGATGTTGACGACCAGGAGGATCCAGCTGCAGCTAATAATTATTTTCTTTGTCCATTAACCTGCAGATCATTTCACAGATTAATCATTAATCTGCAGTCCACATGTCATATTCACTATAAAACAAACACAAACTGTAAATCCTTCCATTTCAGAACCAGAAACTATTTCATTTTCTTTGCTTGAAAAAAAGACTGAAAAGAAGAATCGATCCAATATTCTTTATTTGTTTGGACTGACTGATGGAAATCTCAGCAGCTGAACTGGAGGTTGTAGTTTGTGATATTTTACAGACTTTTCTTTATTTTAAAATGACAGTAAATTAAAGAAATGTTACCCACAGTCTCCCAGCTCGTGTTTTATTCAGACTGCGTCTTCAAAATGTTTGTCTCCGTAAACAGATGCTGTAGTAAAGGCAGTGTAAGTCTGATAATCGGACTCATATTCGGGACAGTACAGTAGGTTTCAGTAAAGAATAACGCGGCGCCTCAGGGTGATGTCGTGTAGCTGACAGTTAAATTACTGAACGTTGACTCTTAATCTTCTTTTCCAGCCGAGACTGATTGACAGGAGCGGGAATTAGAAATGGAAAAAAGTGCAGGAACTGTGCTGAGTCTGTGTGTTTTATTGTGTGTGTGTGTGTGTGTGTGTGTGTGTGTGTGTGTGTGTGTGTGTGTGTGTGTGTGTGTGTGTGTGTGTGTGTGTGTTCCCCTCAGGTACCCAGGAAATCAAAGCTGGCCGTCCACAGGAACGTGAGGGACGACGAAGGATTCATTGTCAGACACTTCGCCGGAGCCGTGTGCTACGAGACGGTGCGTTCACAGACGCCGCTCCGCTCTGTTTCCTGGAGCCATATTTGAAATTAATGTCACATGAAATTATTTAATTCTTTTTCTTTGATCACTGGACTGTGGAAACGCTCCTGACCCGAGCTGTTAAACACGAAAAACCGGTCACCATTTAAATTAGATTAGATTCTAAGAAAAAAAAAAAAATAGACCTGGGAGTTTTTAAATGATCCATGAAAACGTACAAGAAGCTGTTGATGCTCCGTCTCGTGTCAAAGAGCCTGAAAGTTTTATGCAACATCTATATTCTGCTTTGAAAACTGCTCTTCACCTGCACAGTGAGCAGCAGGAAAACTAATTCTGAAATAACAATAATAGGTTTTTGAATTCAATATCAGCTGCTCTCAGGTAAAAACAGACAAACAACAACAACAGTGCAGAATGTGTTTAAGTCTGTTTGAAAATGTCCCTTTTCTCCAGACCAAGTTCGTGGAGAAGAACAACGACGCCCTGCACATGTCTCTGGAGTGTCTCATCAGCGAGTCCAAGGATCGCTTCATCCGCGAGCTCTTCGAAAACTCCAACAACAGCAAAGACGTCAAGCAGAAGGCGGGAAAACTCAGCTTCATCAGCGTCGGCAACAAGTTTAAGGTGAGAGGAACGAAGGATCACACCGTCTTAGGCTTTAAACTGGTGAGATCGTCATTAATAAGATCAGAAACCGGTGATAACTTCTGTGTCTTGTACTGATCTTAAAGGTCCCTGTGCAGTTTTCTTGCAAACAAACAAAGTCATGCATCGTTTACACCCGTGTTTACACCCGTGTTTACACCTGTCACCAGTCGTCTTCTTCTTCTCTGCTTGTGCTGGCGCATTGCTGCACATCTTGGTGCGTCACCCCCACGTGTAGATCAGCTGGATAGAGCGAAATCATTGGCAGGATGTGACTGACGTCCGTGGTGCACAGAGCTGGAAGAGGTTCAGCAGCTCCACTGGGTCTCTTCAATCTTAATCTGTAATCTGAGTTCCTTCATTTCTCATTCTGATGTCTCATAATCACCAGATAGGGATCTTAGTGTTACCAGAAAATCATCGTTAAACAGAGACAAATGAGCGCTCCTGTCTTTATCCACCTGCCTCCACGTTTTCAATTAGTTTATAGTCATTTGATTACAGACACATTTATGTAGGAATATTGCCCCGTATGTTTGCACGATATAAACTAAAATAAACAATCCTCATTGTACTAAAGTGACGCAAACTCGTGCAGTTCATCAACCCTCCAAAACCAGCGGACACGCAGTGAACCAGGGCGGTTCTCAGGGTCTCTGAGGGTCGTCTGAGCTGCTAACGCAGCCTTAAACGTACTTGAACGTCTGCACTGAAACGAAATTACAAGTGGCATCTATTTATTTTTTCAATCAGAAACTCGGGATCAAACTTAGTGCAACAGGGCCCGTCAGTCAGAGCGAGCCAGACCACATCCAGAGGCGCTGAAGCAGAAAATGATGTACATGACTCTGAATTTTGAAGAGAGATGTTGTTGTTTTTGTGATGTGCAGAAATGTTCAGCTGGTTGATAAGTATTGCTGCTGTCGCTTCATCCTCAACTGGTACAAGTTTTACACGTATTGGTTGATCATAAGTTTCCATCCGGGTCTGACGAGGGCCCATAATGTGCTTGTGATTGGGACATCTGACTCCGCCTGTCGCCTCGATGTGTTGCTGTAATGTGGCACTGTAACCAAAGGCAAGGTGAGCCAGGAGCCCCACAGCGCCGGGCTCCGCTCCGCCGTTCCTCTTGGAAACACGTGCTAGAAGAACAGAGAGGCGGGACACCTGAGGGGGATGGTGTCCGGCTCTGGGAGCAGAGCGGAGTACAGTGAGGGCTGAGGAGACGTTCACTGGTGTCTTTGATGCTCCGATATTTGATCCTTTCCATTCGTACGGAGACGCGATTTTATATATTCCTGATGCGTCGCAGGTTCTTGCCGAGGCCGTGCAGACGCTCTCCGTCACTGAAGCGATACATCCGCCGTGCAGTGATGCAGTTTGAACCTGAATAACAGCTACACAATGACGGTATATAACATCAAAACACCCACGACGATTCTCTTCTATTGGGTTTACTGATGCAGTTGCACCACGTTCATGTCCAGTCACGTTTATTTACACAGCCTCACCTGACAACACCAGTGCTGCACAGAATCACATCAATACAGACTGAGGAAATAAGATCTGAATAAAAGACAGAAAAAAACAAAAAGCACACATCAATCAGCTGTTAGTGGAGTCACACGCCGAAGAATAAAAGAGCGGCTAAGTCTTCAGTAAAGCTTGAGGTTTTAAGGCCGTTGTTGTGCAGATTGCAACACAATGCCGCCGCCTTTCACATTTTCAAATTCACATCCAAGCCTTTCATCCCGCCTCCTGCAGGTGGTTACTGCTCATCTCCGTGTTTCTGCTGCTTCCTGGACACAGACGCAACTTTTGTGTGATGGAGAAAAACTTTCAGTCTCTTTGGATTCTTCAGAAATCTTCAGAAATCTTAAGAGAATAATTTCACCGTCTGTTTATTGTTGTCACAAGATCAAGGTCTCTTCCTGCGTCATTTCTCTCTCTGTCTGAACCTCCTGTTATTATTATAACTCTTATCCAGTCAGTGATTTGAGTCGTCACCAACAGCAGAATATTAAAGTGCTGAGGCTCAGAGACTCGCTGACCAGCTGTGCGTGAGGAATGATGTGGGGTTGTGTTGCAGTGTGGATCCTGTGAAAGTCCGAGGTACGAAACATTTAGTGATCAATAAAAGTTCATTCACAAACACTGATGGTATCGGTTGAAATATTGTCCCTCGTGTCGACGACACTGGAAACGATCGGCAGCTCGTCCAGAGCTCGTCTCTGTGCGGAGGTCTCACTACCTGTGAGCTCTGGCACCTGCAGTGTTTTCCTGAAGCTCCTCCTCCTCTGCCCCCGGAGCGGGAACTGAGCGCTGATGAATCAATCAGTAGAGCTGATGGGACTAACGGAGGGAAACCGAGAGCCGGGGGCGGCCTGTATGTTCATCATCACGCAGGCGCTGAATACATCACGACACGAGCGACCTTCTTCTGAAGCTCATCTTGACCTGACTGATAATTCAACCCGCTTCAGCCTGGATTTGAAAAGTGAAAACCGTCTTTGAATTACTGCACGGCGCCTTCTGAATGATAACGCCGTCATACATCACCTGACCGGGTCTCATTTCTGACACGTTTGCGACCGTTGGTCACGACACATGAGCAGCGCTGATGGGAAACGCTCTAGAGGATGTAAATGATGCGATAACGTCCGAGGCTTTATTCATACACCACGCTTCATACACGGAGCAGCGTGGAGGTGAAAGGGTCAGGTGCATCCAGGTGCTCTGAGACAAAGGGTTTTATTATTATTGTCGCTCGAGCTGATGATTAACAGTCGGCAGCAGCTGGAGGAGACACGGCTCTTTAGGTTGAGTGTAACTTACACTGCAAATAAAAATCCACTTCGAAATGATAGAAAAACAGATGCTCCTTATAAAAACAGAAGAGAGTTTTCTCCACCATCACAGTGATCCAGTGACAGTCTGATAGTGTGTAGGTCTGTGGACGCTTTAGAAACAGGGATGACCAGCAATTTAATTTAGCTAAAATAACTAGAGATGAGAAACTGAGCTCTTCAGAGAGGAAGATTATCCCCCAAATAAAAGTGAGACAAAGAGGAATAGAAGGAGCGATGAAATCACTTCATATCAACTGCAAACACACTTGTATAAATGTATTAAAAGCAGCAGCAGCTCCTTCATCACACTTCACAGTGTTGTCAGAACAGGATCCCGGGACACACACGGTCCATCAGAGTCAAGTCAGAGATCTCGTCCCTGATTGGTTCACATTCATTTACACTGACATACATTTACTTTCCCATGAAGCAGATGCTCCTCATGCGCTACCAGGGATGTGGTGAAGTTACAGTCCTCGTTCGTTGGGTAATTGATGATTCACCAATAATGAAAGCGGCCGGTTAATTATTAAAACTTATTTTGTAACAGTCTTTGTTTCGCTTGTAATAATTCATGATGTGAAAAGAAATACAGGAAAATTTTAAATAAAATGCTTATTCTGAGAAACTTACAAAGACAAAAACCTTATTATAAACCCCACCCGGCCGGGACACCGAGCTGGTTAAAACAAATGCTTTGAATTAAAACTTCAGCCGTTGAACAAAGATGTTGATGATGCACATTTTCTCAAAAGTTTTTCTTATCAGAGGCTCGACCAGCTCTGCTGCTGGTGTCACCACCGATGTGAAGAATTAATCCGTCTCGACCTGAAGTCAGAGGCGTCTCTGCGAATGCAAACCAAACTCAGAGGCTTTTCTTTTCACAACCTTATCAGGGGCGAAATCTTCCTCTCTCTCTCTCTCTCTCTCTCTCTCTCTCACCTCGCTCGTCCACCTCAGCCACAAACTGTGAGGCTCAACACTTTCGGATGAAGCGTTCCCACGTGCTCCAGACAGTGATGCAGTGCCTCGTTCTGGACCGCAGCGCCGGGCTCCGGGTGAAGTTATGGATCGTCACAGATCAGGAGATTTCCACCTCAACTTCATCATGAACGTGTTCGACTTCATATCTGATCTGCAGCTGAGAGCAAACCCTGGACTACCCCGGAGAGATGAGATGGTTATCTAGTGCAGCTTCCTCCTTCTCTGAGCTCCTGAACAAATAAACAAAGGTGTAAATGCTTAATGCAGTGTGTAGTATTTGACTTAAATTCACCTAAAATATAATGGAAACGATACGAAAGCGATAACACCTACTTTAACCTCTCTGCAGTGACGTCCCCATTAATTTAAGAACCCATTTTAAAACTTTAGCTCTACGTGGCCACGCCCCCAGAATATCTTCCTGTGGACTCTTTTAAAGAGCAACTACCAACCGTCTGTTCAGACAGATGTTTAGGTAACGTGGTATTTTACGCCTTTAACTTGTGTCCTGCATCTGTTTTCCCCTTTCCATATTTGATCTGATGTTTTTCCCTTTTGCTTTTATTTGATGTATTTTGATTTTAATTGAAGCACTTTGTGACCAGTGAAAAAAGTTCACACAGCTCCGTAGCACGAAACAGGATCTTTACATTAGACAAATACGTGAAGGAAGTTTGGCTATTTGGTGTGTAATTTATTTGAAATTATGTACATAAACATAATTCATTTGCAAGTATCTATAATGCAGATGTATGTTTTTTTGTTTTATATGAATTTGAAAGATCTATTTTTGGTGTAACTCATGACTTTTGGTGAATATTTACTTTCAGCCATTTGAGCCCAAACTGCAGTCCGTGTTTCTTTGCTCACACTGAAATGTTTCTTCCTCTCCTGTCTTTTTCTCTGCAGACCCAGCTGAATATTCTCCTGGAGAAGCTCCGCAGCACGGTCAGTGTTTCTTCTTCTTCTTCTTCTTCTTCTTCTTCTTCTGCCCTTACACGGTGCCGGTTTCATGTTGCGGGCCTCGGAGCTGCAGTAAAGCTCGGCCGTGCTGTGATGCAGCTCCGTGTCATGTCGTGAGAGACAAACAGCTACAGATTCTGTCTCCCATGAGACACACAGAGCGTCGCGTCCTGAGTCAGAAAGTGATGGATGTCATGAATTTGTGATGCGCTCTGAGGCTCCTGCTGTTTCTGTCTCTGTGTGTCTCTGTGTGTCTTGTTTACGTCTCTTTTCTCTCTGCGTCTCTGCTGCAGGGCTCCAGTTTCATTCGCTGCATCAAGCCAAACCTGAAGATGATCAGCCACCAGTTTGAAGGAGCTCAGATCCTCTCCCAGCTGCAGTGCTCCGGTCAGTAAAAGTTTCTATGAACTGTGGTTCGTTTAAGGCCGCAGCCGAGAGGAGAGGCGTCTTTTTAACTCAGCTGGTCTGAGCTCTTGAGAAAGTAGTCCCTCTGGTCGGTCATCCTGTGTGCTCGAGTGAACAGCACAATTAGAGCTGCACAATTGATCGAAATAATATCGAAATCTCAATACGCCAAGTGCAATATCCGAATCACAGGAGCTGCAATTTGTTTTTGATAAAGGTAAACGGTGTCACAACAGACCTTTTTATAAATGTAATATAAATGCGTAGTGGTGCTACAGAGGCCTACAAATCTTATCTGTCAAAATAATCGCAATATGATTTTTCTTTTCTCCATCCATCCCCATGCAGCAGCTGAAGTGTTTGTGCGCCTGTTACTGATTTTTAATCGAATCAAAAAAACACCTCGAAGTTCACGTCTCTCACCTTTTCTAATCTTCCTGTTCAGCATGTTGTAAACATCCGTCAGCAGAGCAGCTTCTTCATCCTGGTTCAGAAACAAAAAGCAGCACAAAAGCCAATAAATACAAAAATGTCAACAAACCTTTTTAATAAACAGAAAGATGAAAAAACAAACGAGGACAAACAGAGGGAGACAAACGCTTCAGCGGTGACTCATCATTCAAAACATCTACGTCCAACAAAGACGTCTATTTTCTGAAATGTGCTGCAGGAAAAATCCAAGTTTGATTCCAACAAAGAAAACAAACCCATTTTTGTCTTTAATGGACAGCTGCCTCATCTTAACGAATAAATGAATTCAACACAGGCTTTTGATTGATCAATACAATAAACCAATTCAACATAAAGTTGATAAAAGACGATGTAAATGACATACATGTATTTTACATTTCATATGCAAAGTTTCAGATAAAAGGAGATTCGGTGAAATGAATAGAACATTTACATGTAGGGAAAATAATTAATTGTTCAATGGATTTTCTTTAAAGGTCGAATATTTTACACTGTTCCTGTGTGTTGATCCATAAGAAGATATTTTTGTGGTTTTATCAACCAAAAACCATCTCATCTCCTCTCTCAGGCTTCCCTCTGGAATTCAGTGAGCCAATCAGAAGAGAGGAGGCTCTGAGCCTCTCTTCTGATTGGCTGACTGTTTTCTGAGTGATCCAATAAAAATATAGCCGATTTCAGGTAAAAACACTCAGAAAAAACCAAATCCTGCAAGGTTTGGATGGTGGGTCCAGGTGGGCGGGGCTTGGTGACTGCTTTGTTGTGACATCACAAAGTTCCAGAAGTCCTGACGGCTGGTTTTAAGGCTCAGTTTCTGAATACAGGCTGTGTGCATTTCTCTGTGGACTGAGGCTTTGATACTTTCACAGTATTAATATAGAAGCTAGACCTGATCTATAATCACACTACACATGGACACAGACCTTTACACTGGAGGAGCTTTAATAAGATATTGCTTATTCTTCTGTGTTTCTGTGTTGTCCTTTTCAAGTTTGTATTCCTAAAACACCCACAACCAATCAGACACGCACAAATCGACAAAATGAACATTTTAAAAGTTGTCCATGTCGTTTGTTAATGGTGTTTGGTTCTTAAAACCACAAATACTGTATATCTTCTTATGGATCGACACTTCAAATAAAACAGGAGAAGTGTAACGTATGACCCTTTAAGTTTGAGCAGCAAATCCTGAAAAATCTTAAAAAGCAATGAACTGAGTTTCCTCAGAAAAAGTCTTAAATTGAATTTACAGAAGTCTTGAATGTTCCTGCTGTTGGCAGTAATGTTAGAAAATGTTTGTGTGGAGAATGCGTCTGTATAAATAACAGTGGACTGAGCTGCAGGAGGCTCTTTAATCCTTTCAGTCAAACACTGTCACTGCTGCTGCTGCAGGAGCTGGAGGATCGTTGTCTCATAATAGGCCAGTGTTGCTTTCTAACGTTTTAACTTCAGCGAACTAGAATAAATTAATCATTTTGTAAATAGGTTTCATCCATCAATTTTATGCCGTTTATCCTGGGCTATGTGGCGTGAATTTAATTAACTATATCATTAGGGAGTTATTGTTATTTACTGCTGGGACGTAATTGTAGACCATATTGTCCCATCATATGTTCGCACTTTGGATGAAAAAAAAAAAGGTCTTTGGTGTGGTATTAACGAGGTCTGTTGGTGAACTCTGCAGAAACCGTGATAACCAGACAACATGTTTCCTCCCCGCCGCCTTTATTTCCTCTGTTCTCTGGTGTAGAACTCAATTTCTGTGTCCTGATCCTGCTCTGTGACTTTGACACCAATGTCTTTAACTCGTTCTGTTCCCCAAACCAAACCAAAAAAAAAGGCTAGAAGTGATGCTCCCCCTTCCTCCCCTCAGGTTTGGAGGAAAAGAAATTATGAGCTCGGGTTTAATATCCTCCCGTTTTGCTTTCAGCCACACAAGCTCGACGATGCCCTGTTCTGATACTGCAGCCCGGCAAGCTCTTTATCAGCTTTATTGGACTGGGAATGGAAACGGTGATAGTTTGGAATAGATGGGGGGGGGTTGGGGGTGGGGTGGGGGGGCTCTGTGTGCCAGCGTGGTGTGGTTAGGTCCAAAATGGGATGTTCAGCAACCGAACAGAACTTTTCCATTATGGTTTGCACTCCTGCAAACGAGATGTAGATTTTATCGTAGCCGGAGACAAAGCGGGTTTTCTCTCCCACAGCCGCCTGGAGCAGAAAGCACGGATGGGCTCAGGCGGCTTTAGGAGATCAGTGACACAGTGATGCTGTGTAACACTTTATAAGTTACAGGCAGGACTTAATAACCAGTGATGATTTCACAGGGAGCCAGTGGAGGGAGACTAACACCTGGTTAAAATGCTCAGGATCTCCGGTTCACGTCACTTGGTTTGAATAAATTTCTGGCTTTTTTCAAACACAACCATGGATCTGGTTTAAGTGTCTCCTCCCCGAAAAGGCTCCAAGGTGAGCACACACACACTTTTTATAAATTGGCTTCATGTAATTGTGGAGGGTGAGGACTCAATTAAGGATGACCTTTTTTTTTTTTTTTTTGTACCATTTCCTTTGGGAAACTGAGCATGAGTTCTGCAATCGGAGGTCTGATGTGAATTATGTGCAGCTCGGGGCTCACAATCAGGGCTCCACTTTATCTTAGGAAGCTTGTATTATCACGGGTGTCACACTGAGAAAGTTATTCAGTGGAATGAAATGCTTTCCTCTTTATCGGCATCACATACGGTAATTTCAGCTGCGACGTGGCTCTGAATGTCAGTGTTGGTCTGTTGGTCCGACACACAGACGGTAAAGACGTAAGCTGAAGCGATAAACACGTCCTGACCGCGTGAGATCAGGTTCTCGAACGTTGTTTATTTTGGCAGATAAACTGTGTGCTAGTTCAGTGCTAACACATAATTTACCATTAACATGCTAACAATTAGCATAATTTCAATCAGCATTAAACCAATGCATATTAAAATACTTGCAAACATTTATTTCCCAGGTTTTGTGTAAAACAAACTGAATGGAAACTAAAAATTAAATAAAAATTTAATAAATGGATTAAAAATACAACCACTAGATGGAGACATTGGTCACAAACAGTGGGACTTTAAGTAATGTCATTTAGCGTTAACTTGTCATAGAACAATCAACATTTTCTTGTTCTTATAAATAGAAACTTGAACTCTTAAGTAATAAAAAAAACAAACCCATATTACTGTAATATTGCTAATTGCTAATAAATTGCTAATTCTAGGGGGATTTACAGTAAAGTTACTTTACTATATAATATAAAGTATTTACTGTGTTACTCTAACAGAGATGCAGTAGCTGTATTTATTAGTTTGGAAATGTTCTTTACATTATATTTTCTGCTCTGAAGTAACTTAAAGACAAACACAGACTCCTCTGCAGAGACGGTTCATCTGCACTGAACAGCAGTTAGAAGCATCTGCCACGAAAGAGCTCTGAAAATTAGCTCTTTGATATGAGCTTTCAAAGCGAAGTGAGACGACTAACAATGCTTCAAAGAGGCCAAATCATCAGCGTTTATAGGGGGGCCTGAATAAACACATTCATTTAATATGTCGGGGGAAACAGTCTGCGGAGTCGTGACGGCGTAAACACACACAGACTGCGACTGACAAAAAAGGGAAGAGGGTCGCAAAGTTGAACGTACACAGGGCCGACAAATGCTGCTAACTGGCACGCAGCCTAATGCGAGTCAGCCTTTGAGTGGCGTCCTGCTGCTTCCATTTACTTATTTCAAAGTTAAAGTCCTTTTCATGAGGTGCATTATTGGATCTTCAGTGTTTATGGTCACGTTGAGCTCTCTTGTGATGTTTCCTGTGTAAACGGGGGCTGGGTATCAAAAACCTGCATGTGTGAAGAGACACTTTCATACTTCACTTAAAGCAATGTATGTTTTTAGACAGTGTGGCTTTACAGGTGAAAATGTTGGTTGGTCTAACCACCACAGATCTCAACAATCACCAGAAGAATTGCCAGATCCCCAGAGGATGAACCCTGATGATTTAAGCTTTTCCTGTGGCGCCACCGTTTGGTCAAATTTTGTTTGCTTTATGTAAAATACCTCAACAACTGGTGGATGTTTCACCATGAAGCGTGGTTCAGATATCCAGGTCATTTGGTGCAAAGATTCACGGTCCCCAGACGATGTATCCTAAAGACTTTGATGATCCTCTGACTCTTCCTGTGGCGCCACCAGCAGGATGACATGTTGGTTCAGAGTCAGATGTCTTGACGGCTACTGGAAGGATTGCTTCACACATTCATGCTCCCCTCAGGATGAACTGTAATAACCCTCATTACTTTTCTTCTAGCGCCACCATCAGGTCAAAATACTAATGAATATTAAAAATACTAAGTGAATACTTTTTCTTTTAGTGCTGATTAGCAAACATTAGCTGGCTAAATGCTAAACCAAGAGCTGCTGTAGAATCTTATTCTTGTTCCTGTTCTGTGTATTTCTCATTAAGAAAACATTAAATATTAAATCTTTGCTAAATACAAACAGCAGTGTAAGAACTTTTAACGGTTAGTTAAAATAGGAGCAATCTGATCAGTGAACAAGGAAAGGAGGTTACAAATCTGACCACACCAAGATGCTTTCCTTTCAACACCAAACTTTGGTTTGTTCTTTAACTCTAGAGATAAAAAGAGGATTTTTCACCTTCATGTCATATATCATACTAATAATCCTCTCTGTGTGACCCTTCCCTGTTTCCGTAGGTATGGTGTCAGTGCTGGACCTGATGCAGGGCGGCTTCCCCTCCAGAGCTCCCTTCCATGAACTCTACAACATGTACCAGAAGTACATGCCTCCCAAACTCACCCGCCTCGACCCGCGCCTCTTCTGCAAGGTCGGCCCTCCGAGCGCCCCGACTTCCTTTATTATCATTTTCCCCGCAGCTACAGTTTCATGTTTATCAATGTCCTGCGTGTTTGTGTTTCAGGCTTTATTCAAAGCTCTGGGGCTGAATGAGAACGACTACAAGTTCGGTCTGACCAGAGTGTTTTTCCGGCCCGGGAAGGTGAGACTTTCTGAAAACCTGCTCTGTTCCCCCGGTGCACCGGCTAATATAAGTATTGTTCCCCTGAAGAAAGACAATAGAGTCAGAGGGAAAGCGCATTAGTCATTTTGGCTGCTGAGGTGAGGTGAGGTTTTTGAGCGAGCCAGAGCCAACAGATGGGGGGGGGGGTATTTCTTCCTGCAGATGAATAATTCATCACATTTGGGTTAGACATGTGGTTTCCACGGGGGGGGGGGGGGGCTTGTGAGAGTGCACACTGTGCGTGACAAACTGTAACTCTGACGCTGTAGATTTAGCTGCAAGGAATAAATAAATACTCGTGTCCTCTGTTGGCCGGACTGGGAAGCTTTCATTACTCCTCACGTCCCTGTGGAAGTGTCCGCCGTCACCAGGCGCTCGTAAATAATTGTTTTAGAGTTTTGGAGCTGAAGAAGATTATTGGACTTTCCAGCTTTAGCGACCTTTAGTAGCAGAAAAGTACATTTTGGGCTTTAGCTAATGCGTCATAAATGGATTTTTTTATGTGCATTCTGAGGCGAAGCTACAAGAATCACAGGCTTTGGAAATCTACAATTGGAGGGTCAACCATGTGGCAGCGCTGCACTCACAAGCTACTCAGAAATCAAATGTGAAAAAGTGACAGTGATGAAACATGGGTGTGCAGAAAGCGAAAATGTGAGTTCAGGAGCTTCCTCCTTTATGAAGGCAGCAGCAGAGTGTGAGGGTCTGACAGTCGGAGGTTTCCAGAGGACACAACAGATTTCACAGCTCTCGGCTTTCAAATCAACTTTACTAAGTGTTAGAAAGAATCCAGCAGCTGCGCTTTGACCCGGCACTCTGCTATTAAATATGCATGGATGAAGAAGAGGACTGACGGGAGCAGGAACAGATATACACCTTTGTGCTGCTGGTCAGGCGTTGGTGAAATATGAAATGGGTTTTCACAGACGACAGATATTCATCTGTGTTACTGTGAAAGTAGCTGAATATGGAAGAAAGTGGAGCATCAGGTTGAGGAGAACTACTTTATGGCAGTGTAGGATCTTTTTCCTTAATTTGTATTTAATTAACTGGATTAGCCAAGAACTGATAATCCAGGTAACGTGTATATATATGGAAACATACAGTAATATCATGATGTAAAATTACATATTTTAAGGACTGAAATAAATTCAACTGAACTGAACTTGATCCGCGACTGTTGAGGTTGTAAAATCACAGGTTCTGACCCTGAATCTCCGTCCAGTTTGCAGAGTTTGACCAGATCATGAAGTCGGACCCGGACCACCTGGCGGAGCTGGTGAAGAAGGTCAACAAGTGGCTGATCCACAGCCGCTGGAAGAAGGTCCAGTGGTGCGCTCTGTCCGTCATCAAACGTAAGCGGCGCCCGTGCCGGTCCACAGAGACTGGTCACAGGTTTTCAAATAGAGCTGAGAATAGTGATGGAGGACGTGTTAATGACGGAGGAGTATCTGTACTTTACTTGAGTGTTATTCTTTTACTTCACGACACTTAAAGGACAAATATTGTATTTCTGACTCCACTACGTACAAACACTACAACTTTCCCTTGTACTGGCGTCGTGTTGGACCGTCTCTGCACGACGCTGACCAAGTGATGGTCATAATAAAAAGTTTCATCCCTCCTCCAAAAGGTTTGTTTTAGCTGATAGTGACAGAGCTTAAATACTTTCACCTGTTGAAATGAATTAGTTAAATTGTTAATTAGCTAATTAGCTGAACAGGCATCACTTTCCCAGGTGGGAGGTGTCTGACTTAGACGTTACATGGAGAGTGAAGCAGCTGTTACTTTCATACCTGGATGAAGGTTTTCTTCAGTTGAAGCTTTTGAGCAGCTGAGACTGTTTCTCCTCCTGCCATGAATAAACCAGCCAACAGAATAACTGACAGACAGGGACATGGAGAGTTCAGGGTCAGAGGAAATAAACCTTACAATACAAACTATTGACAATTATACACTACCCTGTCATGTCTCGTAAACTCTCGTATATGTGAGATCTGATGCAAAGAGAAGCAACAGCAGCAGCTGCTGCCATCAGCTCGTCAAACAACAGAATGAAAATTGCGCAATAAAATGTTTGGAGGGGCAGAATCACGTTGGAAGCTTCAACATCACAGCGAACCATCCGGAGAAAAATGATTCAGTTGGAGACAAGCACCGAGGAAAGAGATGCAAACACTGTTGGAGGCGACGCTGCAGGAACACTGAGCTCACACAAAGCTGCCCTCGTCTCCAAGTGGAAATGTAAGAGTAACAATGAGGAGCAGTTTGCTATTGGCAGGAATTCACTGCTGTGGTGTCAGTGGTGGAGAAAAAACTAAAGTTGCATCAGTTCAGAGCCTTTTAGTAAAAGTGAGGAAACTGTAAATCAGGGTTTTCTGCAGTGTGATGTAGTGAAGGCAAAGAGGGCACTGCAGGTCAGACACCTGCTGCACCAGAGCTGTGCACCCCGCACCTGACCACCGTATCCGACCCCGCCACACTTAGAACTTATAACCAGCAATGAAGACATGTTTGTTTGAAGTTTAATCAGCCGCCGTGACGTGGACGATCACTCGCACGAATCTAAATCCTCCGTGCGTTCATCCGCTGTAATTGTTTTGCTTTCTCTTCGCTCCTCTGCCCGTCACACTCCTTCGCTCTCACTGCACCTCCTGCTCATCGCTGCCTCTTCTCAGACACGTCGGTTAAAGTCCCGTCATGCAAACAAGAGACAGATCAGTATGCACAGATGGCTCGCAAAAAAAAATACCCAGGAGCCTCGTGGACGGAGCAGAGCAAAACAGCAAAACAAACCGCGGGCGGCCGAGACAGACCGCTGTTAATGACGGGAGGCTGAGCTCCTGGAGGAGCGGCTTCTATCTGTCCGCTGTCTTGTGTTTATCAGAGCAGCGTCTGAGCAGAGCTGGTGTCAGTCACTGCTCTCTTTCAGTCTCACTCCATCTGTCTCCATCACTCTCTCTCCAGTAGTTTCTCTATTCAATCTTTCTTTTTCTCTTACTCTTCATATCTGTCTATCCTTTATCTCTCTCTCTCTCTCTCTTTCTCTCCTGCGATTTGTTCTCGTTATTGATCCAATTGAAAATGAGCTCTCATTGGCAGGAACCGGACAGAGGCGAGTGTTGCTGAAGTATATCATCATATCCCATAAAGAATAAATGAATGTGTCCAGACAACAGAGTGTAAAGTTACAGCAGTTAGAAAACGAGCGTTTTAAAGCACCTGCTGCCCAGTAAAAACCAGTGGGTGCACCCCGTTCACCAAACGCAAAGTCCTTAATTCGGTTCTGTGCAGACGTTAAATATTCTGAGGTCATAACAAGATGAAATGAATTTGGCAGCAAGCAGCGGCGTTATCGATCTCCGTCTCTATTTATCTTTCACCCTTCATCTCTGCAGCTCTCCATCTTTTCACTCTCTCTCTCTCTGTAATTTTCTCCCATCAGCTCCATCCAGCCTCGCTTCATTGACAGGACAGACACAGAAACCTGTGTTGCCAAAGACTGGGAGAGGGATGAAATCCAATCATAAACAACGCACGCTTTGTGAAGAGATTCTGCCGACGTAACAGAACATAAACCACATCAGCGTATCAAAAGTAATTCACTACAAATTAAATCTGCGGGCGAGAATACAGAGCGTCCAGCGGGATGACTGGGCGTTTTTTTAAAATGACAAAGTTTGTAAACTTATTGAGCGGTTTGTTCATTTTAGAAACAGAAACTGGCGCCCTCTCCCCAGCAGCCGGGCCCAGCACCCACGGGACCTGGTCTGGCCCGACTAAGACTGGATATTGAACCCACATTCTGTTTTTGGTACAGACCGATCTGTGTCATCCCCCTGAACCCACTGATGCTCCTGAAAGGGAAAAATAAACTTAGAAAGCAAAAAGACAGGCCACAGGGTGAACTCCACGGACGGGATGTGGCACAACAAAATCCAATTCTAGGAACTCAAGAAGTGAAGAGCCTTCAATAAATATGAGACAGAACTTTAATGAGACAAGGTCAACACCTAGTCTTCGTCTGGAGCCGCCTGTGGTTCAAATCCCGAATTTCTAACTGTGACATCGTGTGAAGCTGAGCTGCAGTTTCAGCTGTATTCACTGTGATGTGATCACTCTCTTATTCAGTCTGTCGCTCAGAGCACAGCCTCCGTCTGGATCCACAAGAGTTCAGTCTTTATTTACTTCAGCTCCAGAACGTCACAGACTTTTATTCGAGGCCGGTCTTCATGTCTCACTCCCTCTGTTTGATACGTAGAGTTGGTCAAAGTCGTTAGTACGAAGCCTCGTTACTGATGACTTCCCTCTCTCCTGCTCTCTCTGCTCGCTGTGTCTTATGTTCAGTTATTCCTCTGCCTCCTTCAGTAATGATTATACATGTAATGAAAGTTGTTTATTTGCTGTAACGGAGGCGAGGCTCAGTGTAGTGGAAGTGCTCCTCCTCTCCCCTGCAGTCCCCGAGCAGCCGGTCCCCACTGCTGCAATCCTCAGGTTAAATCAACACCAGAGGACGGATTCATACTTTCCTTTACCGAAGACGTTCATTAAAATTTGCCCCACATCTGGACGGAGAGCAGCCTGCGCAGAGCCGTCAGCAGAGTCGGGGTTTAATCCGATTCTGTCGCCAACCTGAAACCGTCTTCTCTGAAAATGTGCCGCTTTATTCCCACATTTAAATGATGTTTCATCCGACTTCTCACCCTGATTTCAGTCCAATATGTACGACTCATCATACGAACTCCTCAGAACTCGGCCTGTAGAGGTTGTGATGACAGAAAATAAACCAGTCTTTCTCTCTCCTCTCTCCTCTCTCCTCTCCTCTCTCCTCTCTCCTCTCTCCTCTCTCCTCTCTCACAGTGAAGAACAAGATCTTGTACCGGACCAGCGCCTGTATCAAGATGCAGAAGACCGTTCGGATGTGGCTCTGCAAGAAGAAGCACAAGCCGAGGTGGGAGGTCTTTCTTTCTTTATCTTTCCTTCTCCTCCTTCTCTCCGTCCTTGCAGCCAGTTATCTCTCCTCTTCCTCCATCGGCTCTTTCTCTTTCTTCACTCCTCCTTTCCCCTGCACCTCCTCCTTTACTTTCCATCTTCACCTTAATTTCCTGCTTTGTTCCTCTCTCCTTCTTTCTTTTTTTTTCCATCCATGTCTCCATATTTTACTCCATCCTTCTTATCTCTGCTTCCCTCTGCCCCCCCTCCTTTTCACTATCTTTCCTCCTCTCCTCCTCCTCTTTCTCACCCCCTCCCCTCTCAACTCTCTCCTCCATTTTTTTACCTCTCCATTTTCCTGCCCTCCACTTCTGCAGCTCATTTTTTCTCCTCACTTCTTTTTTCTTTTCGTTTCTCCCTCTCCATCATCATGTCGTCTCCTCTGCTCGTGTCCACTCTCACCCCCCCTCGATTCACACTTATCTCCATCCTTTCTCCTTCTGTCCCTCCTTCCTTCCCCCTTCCTACTCTACTCTGCTCTCATTATCGCTTCTCCTCACCTTCTCTCCTTTTCATCCTTCCCTTCCTTCCTCATTACATTCACTTCCTTCTTCTTCCCTCCTACCTCACTCCCTCGTCCTCATCTTTCTCCTCCTCCTCCTCTTCTCCATTATCTGCCACTTTCACAGCTCAGCAGTGTCAGTCTGCTTGACACACACACACACACACACACACACACACACACACACACGCTGCCTCGGAGACAGTCGCCCTGGCGACACGTGCAGCTCTGCTTATTGCCTCCGATCTTTGATGATAAACAACAGAGGCCCCGGGGGAGGCAGGTGGGAGAGAACATGGGGACTGCAGGTGGAGAAGAAGTGTGTCTCCCTCTGTGGGGGACTTTAGTCTGATCTGGCAACCTGCTGGTCCACGCTAACAGGCTGTAGGATTGTGTTTGGGCGTGCTGCTGATGAGGTGGAGAGTGTGATTACAGGGTGTCGGCGGTGTGTTAATGACTCGGGCGGAGTTTTGGGGGGGATTGAGATTTAGTGGAACGGCGTGGGGGGGGGGGGGGGGGGGGGGGACATGAAAGAGTCACAGAGAAAAACAAAGGAGGGACAAGTCACAAGTGAGTCTCATGTCTCGGCTCTGAAGTCTCAAGTCCGGTCTCACGTCACTCTATTAGCTCGTACCTGCAGAGACAGGTGCGACCTTCAGGGAGGGAGCGGCCAAATGACTTGCAGCAAATAGTCAGGCCGCCCCGGAGTCGAGCCGGGGTCGCACCACTCGGGGCATTTGAGCCGGTGTGGTTTGCGCCCTAACCGTCCGGCCATCAGCTCGCCCCACTCCGGTTTTTACAATGTCGTTTTTAACCATTCGGCTTTTGAAGACGTCAAATTAAAAGACTAAAGTCCAGGTGGAAAGTCAAAGTCGAGTCTTTTTGTAAATACTACGATGTGTGTACGATGGATACGTTTATTTTCTACCCTTCTTTTGTTCTTTAAAAAGTGTAATTGCAGACATTTGATATGAATAAACAGAGAAAACCTTTGTGGAGGTAATAACTGTGTAAAATGTGGAAGTACACAGACACCAGATTAAAGGATGATATAGAAAGGATATTTTGCACACAGCTCTCAGTTGCATTGCTCTGTGCGTTCTCTACAGAAGAGGGATTACAGTGGTTGTTGCATTGTCCGCCTCTCACAGATTTCTTTTCTTACGTCGCAATTACCGTTTTCTGTGCTCCATCTGATTATTGGTTTCAGGCCACGGAACAGAGAGAACCTGTTTAAAGCTGCCAGTACAGTCTCTGCTACAACGCTTACACACCGTCAAGACAAACACACACACACACGCAAGGACAGAACAGCTGAGTAAACAAAAACAAACAGTACAATTACAGAGCTAACGAGGCTGAGAGGAAGTGACTGTACACAAGCCTCGCCGGTGATTTGACCCTCTCCTGGCAGAAAACATTACAAACAACAACACCATAAAAGGTGAAGATGCCGATCTCATCGTCCATCACGCCAGGAGTCAGCCGGACAGACTGAATAACGCTCCTCCCTTTTACTTCCTGGCTCCTCAACAACATTAAACTGTCACTCAGCCTGTGAAAAAAAACCTTGTTGAATGTGTTCTGTGGAGAAAAAACCAACCCGGTCATCAGGGTCATCTCAGTTTGGACTTGGAGATAAATTTGTAACAGGAAGTTTAGGATCCAGGCTTTTTTGGGTCTTAATACATACTGCAGGCTGAAGGTGGTTCTGCACGTAACCCGTTTGGTTCCGCTCAGATGAACTCGTCTGGGCTGCGAAAGCTCCGGAGTCCGGTCTGGACTAAACAGCTGGTCCGGGTTTTGGTCTTCCTCCAATCCGATTCAGAATTGACATATCGTGAGTGAAACGCTCTCGCAGTTCTACAGGATTACACAAAAAGCCCCGAGCTGATCTGGACTTGGTTGAGGGATGGGTCACGGGTCAGAGATGAACCCATTACATTTTGGGTCAGATCCGAATAATTTCCAAACGTTGTTGAACTGTTTTCTCTGGAGTCTGGTTTGTGTTGTTGGACACTGGCCTTCACGGCTTTTCTAATTTCTTGGTGTTTCTTCATGATTCCTGTTTACAGACCTCGCTTTATTTGTAAAATGAACAGGAACCGGACCAGAACTAAAACCCAACAATGTGTCTCTTTGTTCCTCGGTTTGGAACGAGTGAATTAAAGGTTTAAAAATCGTACTAACACTCAGGACGTCTCGGCCTCTGCTGTAATCCTGAACAAAAGTTTCTTTAAATTTACAGATTCACACTTTGTAGAGCCACGTCGATGTTTTCACCAACCGTTTCCTGTGTGTGTGTGTGTGTGTGTGTGTGTGTGTGTGTGTGTGTGTGTGTGTGTGGGGTGTAGGATCGACGGGTTGGTAAAGGTGCGTAACCTGAAGAAGAGGATGGATCGCTTCAACGAGGTGGTGGCGGGGCTGAAGGAGGGCAAACAGGAGATGAGCAAGCAGGTGCAGGAGCTAGAGGCCGCCATCGACACGCTGATGGTCAAAATCAAGGTACGTGAGACGGACAGTCTGATCTACAGCGCAGCTCATCTGGTCTTATTTATGCTCGTAAAGCCTGAACTCTCCCACGTCCTGCAGTGAAATCCTTCTGTTCTGCTGACACATACATATGAAAAGTTTTTGCTTGAGGAATAGGACATCAACCAGTTCGACAAACGTGCCGCCGACTCTCCGAACATGATGGACAGCACGAAATGAAACCTCTCTCCGCTGCAGTGTGACGGACAGGTGGGGCCTTAAGCCTCCGGCTTGACGAAATGAGAACAGATTTGCGTCCAGGCCTGATGGTTTATGAACCAAATATATATATTTAAAGTTTTCATGTGGATAGAGAAAGACATTGTCAGATTTAAGATGTGTCATTATGAGCAGTTTGAATCAGATATTTATCCTGAGTGATGGATTTTCAGGACTATTTGCTATTGAACAGGATTAAGTTGTTTGCTCTATCTTTCCTATGAATGTCATGAATCTTAAATGATTCTTTTTGTTTGATTTTCACACTTTAACATTCATCTACTCTGAACCTTTTATTTATTTATTATTATTGTTTAGTTTAAAGCGCAGAGGAGCCGTTGAGGTTTGACGGGTGCTCACTGCAGAGACTATGAGGATTAGAGGGACGGCGGCTGGTGGAGGGCCCCCCCCCCCCCTGCAGGTTTTGGTAGTAGAGTAACTGGCAGTCAGAGGGAAAAAAAGGTTGCCTTGACAGCAGATGCGTATGAATATTCATCAACACGCTTCCTGGGTCGTGTTTTACGCTGCCGCCCTGCGCGTCCCTGTCAGCCGTCAGAACCCGCCGCGTTGACACCCGCACATACAGTGACGGTGAACTGAGAGATTCCTGATGCGCTCTGAGGAGGTTTTAGATGTTGTAGTCTGACGCTTCAGTATCTTTCTGACGTCCCCCGTCACAGAGAGATGCAGGAAGGGTGTAAGTTTGTAGGCCAACCAGGAAGTTAGCGTCACCCTGGTTCCCTGCAGAAAATAAACCCTGTGACAAACAACAGTTTATGATACTGACACGTTTATTAACAGCTCCTGTATTTCAGGCTGCGACTTTAGTCTGAAGCAGTTTCCACAGAAAAAGATGCTGAAGATCTGGACGTATATGATATGTAGAATAAGCCTCAACATTTTAGGTGGTTGCTATGCTCGTGCTATCCATCTATCTATCCATCCATCCATCCATCCATCCATCCATCCATCCATCCATCCATCCATCTTCAGACCTTCGTTGCCTGAAACAAAATTCATAAATCACTGACAGGAACATTTTCTTTTTAGTGCTGCAGAAATCAAAGTGAATATTAAATAAAAAGTCAGTCTTAACTTCGTTTCCAGGCGTCTGAGACTAAAACTAAACACCATTCTGACTGTGAATCATCTGAGTGTTTCAAGGATTCGTCGAGCAGTTTCATGGAAAATTAGCTCCTTTAAAACATCATAATCTCTGCAACAAAATTGTGATTGATGAACATTATCATCAATCCCAAACCATTAGCGTTAATCTGCTGCCATGGCAACCTGACTTTGTGCTCAGGGACGCTGACGAACACAAGCTGTTGACACGAGGCTGGAAAACTCTGTTGTCTGAAATATGTTGCCGAGCAGCAGGAAACAAGACGCTGCAGCCAAACCATGAAAAACAATTAAAGTAAACCACGTCCAGATTAGGACGTCGTCTGATGATCATTTTCATTATTGATTAATCTGCTGGTTTCCTGCTGCGCTCCTGAAAACATCGTTCTCAGTAGATTCTGTCTGTTGTTTTCTGTCAGAGCACCATCATGACCCGGATCGACATCGACCACGAGTACCAGGCCCTGGTGACCCGGTCGGAGCAGCTGCTCACGGCCATGCAGAACAAGAAGAAGGAGGAGGAGGAGAGGGAGCGGCTGCGACGCATCCAGGAGGAGATGGACAGGGAGAGGAAGAGGAGGGAGGAGGAGGAGCAGCGCCGCAAGCAGGAGGAGGAGGACAGGCGACTGTAAGTGTTGTTTTTGCTTTCACGTACGTAACCAGGCACTTGTCCAAGTTTACGTTTTCCTGACCTCTCCTCAGGCTGCGGTGGACATTTTTTTTTAAAGGTGCCCAACAGGGATTTACATAATGAGATTGCCACTTGAAAAGGATTTATTTTTATAGAAGCTATAAAGTGTTATCAGGCTGAGTTGTTGCTTTTCTGTACTTAGCTCTCCTCAGTTGTCCGCGGCGATTTACACCCAGCGCAGCTCCAGCTCCCCCAGTGTCCGTCAGTACAGGAGAACGGTAGCGAGCGCCTCCGAGTTCTGATTAAACAGTTTGACAAACATCGTCCGTGTCCAGGCGACGCCACGTTCAAACTCTGGCTCAGCGATGTCAAACATTTTTTATTAACTAATTTAAATCTGGAGTCGGTTGATGCTCACAAATCTTCCTGCAGTTTCCACTCCTCCACAGTTTCACACAGAAGGCTGACAGTTAGATTACTTTAGGATATATACACTGTGTTGGAGAGGAAGGAAACCCAGTGAGCTTGTACAAGGTCCTCCCCTTCATTTCAAGTCAGACACTGCCAAGATGGCGACGGTGGAGCAGCTCACTCTGAGCCACAGGGGTTCGTCCATCTTTATTAACAGTCTGTGGTAAAGGCGTATTTCGCTGTCGACTGTCTTTGTCACTTCTGTTCACACCCAGGATCTCTGATGGGTGTGGTCAGACGTGTGCTCTGTATCGTCTGTAGCCACGCCCAACAGTGATGTCATCGTGTACTGACCACACCCTGGAGTACACCTGTGATTGATTGCAGGTTTCAGTAGAGTCTGCCTCATGGTTTGTGTTCAGTTTTTAAGGAGAGAGAAAGATCACGTGACTCGTCTGAAACACACAACAACCCTCCATCAGCTAACACAGCAAATACAATGCATGCTGGGAAATACTTTAACGAACTAAAATGTCTCGGAGCCGCTTAATGTGTCGTTCAGTGCAGCAGCCTGTTTCTCTCTCGCCGCCTGTTTCCTAAACGACACCGTGTGAGATCCCGGTGAGGTTTTCAATCTATCAGACGCTGCACACGATCACGCAGAAAATTTCATTTCCTCCCCAGATTGCGGCAGACACATTCTTCTGTCAGGTTTGACCCCCACAGCCCTCCCCTCGCTCAGCGTTATGGGGGGGGGGGGCCATGAGGACTGATGGGGCCATTGTGTTCGTCACAAACCACTACCCGCTAATATAAGACATTAGAGACGACAGCCCCACATTTTATGGCCCACTTTCCCTTTCCCTTCCCGCTCCTCCTCCGGCGAGTTATGAACTCCCAGGATTCACCTGGAGGTCGCAGACTGAAGGTCGTGAGAGCAGAAGAGTGTCGGCCGCATCAGAGGAACTCCATAAAGCCACTGACCCTGTGATATAGGATTTTCCCTTTTCAACAGATCCAGTGCAGCTTCAGTCCAAACATTATTTATAGGGACGTGCTAAAACCTGCCCGCTGATGGAAATGTCTCCCAGCAGGCGCCTCCTCACAACCTGCTGCTGCTTCTTTCTTTTAGGCTTTTGGCTGATGTTTCTATTTAGAGCCGTTTGCAGCGGCAGAATAACCTTCAATTCCTCGATGACCAGAGAGACAAGCGGCCGGGGTGAAGTGGAGCAGATGTTGAAGCTCTAGCGATCCGACAAAAAACAAAACAACAGAGCGAGAAAGTAAATAACAGTTTAAGAGCAAATGAAACACAAACACTTTCAGTGTCGGGTTTGGAAACAAATTCCTACTATTTCATCCAAGTGGAGCTCAGACAGTGAGATGATTAATTAATCATTTAGTGTTTTGACAGAAAATTAATCTGCAACTGTTCTGAAAACTGATTAATCGTCTGTCGCTTTTCAGTCACATGATGCAGCTGCATTTTTAACGAGCTTTCACGTGAATGTTATCAGTGACAGCTGTTTAACATCTAACGATGACGACGGTCCGTTCATGAATCTGTGGTTTCAGTCGTCGTATGTGTCGACCCTCCTCTGGTTCCCACCCGGGGCTGTTCTGAGATGAGCTTCGTCTCTTTTCCCATTAAAACTGCCTCTGATTTCCCAGCATGCAAAGCTACCAGAGCAGGTGTGAATCTCTAAAAGGAGCGTGTTGAAACTCTGAGGCGTTCAGGAACAAGTACCAACGTTTAAAACTTTCGGTTTCTATTTTTAACGTCTGAAGTTTCAGCTTGACTTAATTTGTCATTCGACGCTGTAAAAAAATAACACACAAATAATAATTACAAGTTGTTACGCCTCAGAATTGTAAATGTATTTAAGAAACACCTTCGTAAAGAAACGGTGAGTCGTCACTTTTCCTGTGAGAGGAAAGACGTCGGGATGAAGTGATATATTCTGCCTCTTCCTCTTTTCTGTCCTTATCTTCTGTTTCTCTTCTGTCTTTGTCTGTTGTCTTTTTTATTTATTCTCCTTCACTGCTCCGTCTCCATTTCCTCTTTTCCTTGTCTCACACTCCATCTGTTCCTTTATCTCTTCCTCTTAATGTCTCCACGTCTCTTCCTCTCTGTCTCATTTGTCTACTGTCTTTTATCTTTCCTTCTTTACTCTCTCTGGCACATCTTTCATCATCCCTTTCTTTCTTCTTCCCCCCTCCCGTCAGGAAATCCGAGATGGAGCTGAAGAGGAAGCAGGAAGAGGAGGAGAGGAAGAGGCGGGAGGAGGAGGAGAGGAGGATTCAGGTGGGTGTGGTCAACATCGAGCTGAGAAATACAGACCGGTTTATTCAAAGCTTGAAAATGTTGTTGTATGTAGGTGATTTTAACAACAAGCAGGAGTTCGGTTGCTGTTGTTTGCAAAATTAAATTGGAGTTTTGGGAGGAAAGAAATCGTCTGTGTGAAGGAGGCCGACAGTTTGAAACCACAAACGCCATCTTTCTCTAAACCTTAAAGAGCAGCTTCACAGTTCGAAAAGTTTGATCAATTTTATTTATTTGAAATGACAAATGAGTGAGTTTTGTACCAGACAGCGAAACTTTATCAGAAAGAAAACTGGCGTCCTCGTCCAGACGTAGAGTCGGCAGAAGTCGCAGTAGTGGAACTGCAGTATGGAGGAAAAAAAAAATATAATAGTGTGTAAATATTAAGTGTGATAAGAGAAGGTTTGATAAGACTTCAGCTCTATTTGCTTAAAGGGGAGTTTTTCTAATCAGTGATTCCACGGCGTAATGAAATGTTCTGCTGTCATCGTTTTCTGACTCGACACAATTTGAAACAAGCACCTGAGCTGAAAACCCTCCTGCACAGATCCATGACGGCCGCAGACGAAGATCAGTAATTTAATCTAAATGAAGGAAAATAATAAAACAAGCGAAGCTGAAGGAAAGAGTTTGGTTCCTGCTGGAACATGTGATCGTTTCCCTGCACCACAAAACTTTTAAGAAGAGTCGAACCTTTACACGTCAGATTCATGAGCTGCAGGTTCCTGCAGTTTAAACACAGACTGTAAAGCCTCAGCGTTCGGACTGTGGGTGATGTGTGTCCCTGTGTTTGTGTCCTCGTCCTCGCAGATCTGTCTTTGCGGGACGAGCGAGTCGAAGCCCTGAAATCCCTCCTGCGCAGCTCTGCTTTTCTCTAATCCATTTTCTATCTGTTCTGGCAGCAACATGGCCGCACTTTATCTCTCTCCATCACACTCTCTAATGGCTCGCTCTGTCACTGTGTCTGAGAGAGAGTCTGCTCACTGCTGTCTTTGTGAGGACCGGTTTAAGTGTGACTCCTTCAGAGTGAAGACATTTCCTGTGATGATGACTTCATAGTTTCCAGGGAACTTTAGGTTCGCACGCAACCTTTGCCAGGAAAATCTTTAACGTTTTTTTTGTTTGTTTGTTTATTTGTTTTTTCAAACAATCCCGAGAGGAAAGCGGAAAAATATTTTTTAAAAATTTAATATTTTTTAAAAATTTATTATTATTTTTTTTTTCATCTGTAAAAACAACCTCTGAGAGGAAAGTCATTTTTTTTCTGGGAATAAATAAAAAAAATATTTTTAACTAAAAAATGGCCCCAGCAAAAAAACCCAAAAAACAATTCACTTGCCCCTCAGGGCTTCCGTACTCTCTGAAGGGACATGCACACACAGCTGTGCTGGTGCACGCTCGTGGCTTCGTGGTTGTGTCTTCACATGTGTCATGATGCAAAGTGCTTGAGGCTTGTGTGTGGAAATCTACACGTACACACAGATTCAGGCCATTTTACAAACGCCAACACGTTTCTTCTTCGTGTTGACGAGATAGCAGGTTTTTACGGGTCACGGAGTTCTTACGTTTCATCCAGCGCGTCTCCGTCCGGCTCGGTTGTTTCTGCTGCGGCTGGTTCCTCTGGTTCCCCCGGAGCATCGACCCGGGTCCGGATCAAGTGCAGATTTTTAGCAGCGATCGGAGGCTGAACAGATCAAAGCCGCTGGCCCCAGGCCCGGGGCCCGGAGCCCCAGGCTGGGTTACCCACAAATCAATCCCCTGCGCTTCCATCGGCTCAGAGCTGTTGGTCTTCTCAGCACGTTCACTCTCCTCTAAATATTCATGTCTCTCTCTGCTGAGTCGAGCGGGGCTCAGGCTTCGAGGAGAGGAAGTGATGACAGTCGCACTCTTTATCCAGAGAGTCGTAGTTATGATCCAATCATATGATGTCAAGCGTTTGGAAGTGACATGTCGTTTGTCCCCAAACTAGTCCGGATCCATGAGTCCAGGAAGCTGCTTTAAAAACGTGATTTGCAGATTCTGTTTACCTGCGGATCTCAGGCTGCAGTCGCCCTCTGAGACTGTAGCCTGTATGACTCACTGACTTGTCTGTGATCAGACGCTCAGCGGGGGATGAAACCTCCGTGTTTGTTTTATTTACAGTCAAGGAAATCGTTCCTGGGCTGATGAAAAACACCTGAACACAATCACAATGATCCATCAGAAAGTAGCAGCTCAAAGAAATCTCAACTTATCCCTGGAATTTCCATTAAAAACACGGCCATGATCAGATGGCTTAATACAATCTTTAAACCTCTCGCTCCTGATAAAACGAAGCCTGAAACAGAAAGTAAACTGCTTAATTAAGCAGCTGCTTAATTAATTACAAGGAGCTCACCAGTTTTTCCTCTTGATGTGAAAAGACGGAGAAAAACTCTCATCTGCTCACGAAGTCCGAAACAAAACGAAGTCCAGATCTTCAGCAGATGGAGAGAAAAGTCACAGAGTCACTCTAACCTTTTTTTACTATAGACCAAGTTTCCAAAACACTGCATCTGTTTGACTCAGAGAGCATCACAGACTCACTGGTGAAAGGTTTTTCTATAATCTGTGACTTTATGTCTGAAAGTCTGAACGTCACAGTCTTCCGTTAAAAAAACTATTTCTGATGCAACTGTTTTTTTCTTTACATGTCATTTTAATAAAGAATAAATAAGTTTTAATATCACAATATTAAAATTATGTAATACTTTAAAAAAGAATAAACGAACTAATGAAAAATATATACATGTATGTGTGTCTCATGTAGCATTTTTCAGATATATAAAATTTGTATAAGATTTGTCTTTGCAACTAAATCGTTGCTACTTCTAAAGTGGATTATATGTAATTTGTAAAATTATTATATTATATTATATTATACATAAAAATACATATAATAACAATATATCAAATTTATATTTTTATATATATTATATATTTTTGGTCTTTTGTTATTTAGATTTTTTTATTATAATATATTTTTATTAAATGTATTATTCTATTATATTTTCTATTATAAATGGATTCTTGAAAGAGAAGGAAAAAAATCATTAAAGAAAATCAGGTCGTCGTTTAACAAACATTATTAACTGGATCTAAAACAAACTGAAGCTGAACTTCAGCTGATGAATGAAACAGTCACTTCTGTCCTTCCTGACTCGGTCAAGGAGCCGTTTGACTTATGAAAGCGTCTCCTGAGGAAAGGTGGAAACAGGAGCATTAATCACCCACTTTAGCCCCTCCCCCTCCGCTCGCTGCCCCTCGTCCTTTCTTTAATGAGCGGGACGGAGCAGATGAAGTTTCCTCCTGACCTGCTCTGTTTGTAGGAAGGTTGAAGGGCGTCTGTGTGTTAATGCATCAATCAGGAGGTTTCTGCATCTGCTGAATACAAACAAGTTACTGGGTCGTGTGTGTGTGTGTGTGTGTGTGTGTGTGTGTGTGTGTGTGTGTGTGTGTGTGTGTGTGTGTGTGTGTGTCTGCGTGTAAGAGGGTGTGTTGTCTTTGTTTCCGGTGAAATTCACTGAAGGTTGAATGACTTTAAGTTTCCAGTGGATTTCAGTTTCTGGCGAAATCGTCAAATGTATTTGAAAATGAAAAGTTTCTGATTTCCCACACTGAGGCCTCTCAAGTGAATGTAGCATTAGATCCACAGTTTACTGGATCTGGCAGCTTTAAAGTTGCAGATGGTCGACCACTCTGAGGAGCCGGAGACTGACTTCAACACATGAACAAATGTTTACTGCAGCACCGACAGTCCAGGTGAGCAACGGAGGGATTTTAAATGTAAATGTAAATTGTGTGTGTGTGTGTGTGTGTGTGTGTGTGTGTGTGTGTGTGTGTGTGTGTGTGTGCACGCTCAGATGGAGATGGAGCTGCAGCTGCAGGCGGAGCGGGAGGAGGAGGCGTCTCGGCAGACCGTCCTGGAGCAGGAGAGGAGGGACAGGGAGCTGGCGCTGAGGATCGCCCAGAGCGAGGCGGAGCTCATCCCGGAGGAGGTGCAGATCGACGCGGGGCTGCGCAGGTAACGACACACCTGACCCTGTTAGTGCCACAACACTTCTCTGTTTGTTTCCACTTTTCTTGTCCACGTTGTGAAACTGAAACACGGAGGATGCAGGAACGAGCAGGAAGACGGGGAGAGACAGACCTCTGTCACTTGAAGCTAATGGAGGTCTGGAGACACTGAAGCACAGAATGAGTTTGAAAAGGGAAGAAACACTATTAACTTTGGTGAAAGCCATCAGCCAATAAAATTACTGTCCTGAGAAATTGTTTCTGCCCAACCAAAAAAACAAAGTGCTTGGTCGCAGGAAAGACACATTATTAACATGAAAGGACGAGAAACCAGATTTCTGCTTCACAAAATGATGTTTTTCTCTCTTTTCTCGGGTTTTATCTCTAAAAACTGTTAAAGTGACACAATCTTTTTGTTTTAAGATATTTTTTTGGAGCATATAAAGCTTTTATTTGATGAGACAGAGTCCGACCAACAGAAGACAGTGAAACAGCTTGGAAACAAACCTCCAGCCTGAACTTTCAACTTTCAAACAGATATCACACAGTGATTAAAACACACGGGGGATGATCCTCCGTGTCGCTGCGCTCACATGATGTTTGTCCGTCATGTTTCAGTTTGTCACCATGAAATCTAAAGGGATGATTCAAAAGCAGCTGATACGATGCGTCACTCAGACTTTGCAAAGTGTTGTTAGTTCACCACAGTCTGTCACATTCACATTTCCTGTTTCAAACTTTGAATGTTGTAAAGAGAGAGAGAGTGTCTGTCTGACGTCTCCTCCGAACCAGCGTCTCGCAGGGTGGAAGCTCTGAGCGCGTTCAGCTGGAGAAACCCACCGTCTCCAGGCCGTCCAGTGTTTAACCATTTTTCTTCTTCTTTGTTTTCTTCTTCTTCCTCTTCTTTTTTTTTTTTTCTTCCTCCCAGCAACGGCTCCTCAGTTCCATCGTCCCCAGAGAGAGCAGCGTAAGACCCGGCGATTTATCCCTTTAATTTAATCCCCAGTCCCCCCTGCCTCTGACCTTTCAAACCGTAACCCCCCCCCCCCCCCCGGCCCCCCCCCTGCATGCTGTAACAATCTGCCAGCTGAGCACATATCCTGTTCTGTTACTATGGGATCCTGATTTCAACTAACAGACTCACTATTTTAATAGAAAGCACTGTTATTATTATTATTATTATTATTTTACTTTTATTTTGAAATCTGACTTTTATTGTCTAGATTTTTCAAAAGTAATGAGCACCAGTTTTAGCTGTTGCACCAACCTGATCGTCACAAGAGGAAACGTGATCTGGGCCTGTGTTTATCAAACCTCTGAGAATCACGCGTCACGTGACTCACTTCCATCAACGTGTAGGACGAACCTTTAAAAGGAGAATTTAAAGGCACGAGACTCGACCTGCATCGGTTGATAACTGTTCGGTCTGTGAAGAGAGACATAAACACACACTCTTCCTCTTTCTAATGAACAGTTTAATCAATAACTTCACTCAGGTTCTGCTGCTACGGCCTCGCCTGGTCTGCTCTGACCAGTAGCTCACGGTGGCTAATGTTAGCAAACTGTAGATTCAGTTCAGAACATCTGTAATTATCCTGTAGCTGCAGAGACACAAGAAAGAAAAACCCTGTACAACTAGAAACACTCAAAAAGTTACAAGTTTAAAAACAAAATGTTCAGTAAATAACTATAAAAAAACAAAGCAGTTGAAAAGTTACCGAGGCAACAACATTTATAGACGTTAAAAACAGCTGATTCTGCTGATTAACTGACATGAACTGTCTCTTCTCCACTTGTTTCTGTGGTTTAGTTCGTCATCAAACAGTAAAACATCGTGTTCATTCTGCTGCTGGTAGAAGAAGTAAAACAGAGAAACGGACAGAAACTAGAAAGGAAAGAAGTGAAGCTCTGGACACTCTGGAATTATACATGTATGTTGCATCAGATACTTTTCATTTGACCAACACAAACCATGATGGAAAAGGTGCACGCTCACCTGTGCGCTGTAGTAAAGGACTTTTTTAAAGATTTTTTTAGTTTTCCCTTTTTCAGCAGTTTGATAAACTCGGGCCTCGTCCTCTGATCAGAGTTTGGAGGGTGAATCGCTTCTCAATAAGTCTCCGGGGGAAGGAATCACCTCTCCTCCTCTTGATTGGTTTGTTATATTGTGCAGTGCCGCTCCGTCTTATAATCCTATAATCCTCTGTTTACAGCGCTGCTGGATCCTCAAATCTCCAGGGCCTGACCATGTAGGTTTCCTCATTCACACCAAAACCCCTTCAGCACTGTGTGTGTGTGTGTGTGTGTGTTAGATGCAGATTCACGGGGCTCGGTACATTTTAGAGAAGCTGCATAAATGAGCTGCGCCAGATGTTTTTTACTCGGCGAGCGAGAGGTCGAAGAGTCACAGTCGCTTCCTTGAAGCGTTACAGCGGCCTGCGCGCTCGCTGGCGTCGTCGCTCGCTGCGGCTCGTGGGCGTCGGCCTCCCACTCAGCCCGCAGCGACCCACACACAGAGTCACTCTGACAGTCATGACTCAGCTGCTGTAGTGGCCACATTACACTGTTACGCTCTCGGAGGATGTTAAAGTGGAGCGTGGCAGCTCTTCATGCTCCGGGTGCTTCCACAGTCCTCTTCTTCTCTGGCAGACGTCAGCGCAGCGTTTTCACTTCCTGAAAACTGAGTAAAACACGACGAAACATCCTCAGGAACAAAACCAGTTTTCTTTGACTTTAGTACCAACACACATCTGATGAGTCTCAGAACAACAAGCAGCACTTAAACACAACAGTCAGCAATAAGTACAGAGAAGAAGAAGTAAAGAGAAGTAAAGAAGAAGAACAAGCCCACTGAAACTAAAGGCCACACATTCACACAGTTCTTCCTCTCTTTCTCCTCTTCATCTTTCTCCTCTTCATCTTTCTCCTCTTCCTCTCTTTCTCCTCTTCCTCTCTTTCTCCTCTTCCTCTCTTTCTCCTCTTCCTCTCTTTCTCCTCTTCCTCTCTTTCTCCTCTTCCTCTCTTTCTCCTCTTCCTCTCTTTCTCCTCTTCCTCTCTTTCTTCTCTTCCTCTCTTTCTCCTCTTCCTCTCTTTCTCCTCTTCCTCTCTTTCTCCTCTTCCTCTCTTTCTCCTCTTCCTCTCTTTCTCCTCTTCCTCTCTTTCTCCTCTTCCTCTCTTTCTCCTCTTCCTCTCTTTCTCCTTCCTCTCTTTCTCCTCTTCATCTCTTCCTCTCTTTCTCCTCTTTCTCTCTTTCTCCTCTTCCTCTCTTTCTCCTCTTCCTCTCTTTCTCCTCTTCCTCTCTTTCTCCTTCCTCTCTTTCTCCTCTTCATCTCTTCCTCTCTTTCTCCTCTTTCTCTCTTTCTCCTCTTCCTCTCTTTCTCCTCTTCCTCTCTTTTCCTTCTGCTTTGAATATTTCAGTATTTTGTAAATATGATTATAAAGTAACTGTCTTCTTTACGCCGGCGCTTCGTCCTTTAGGGAAGAAATGGCGAAGGAAATGACTGAACTTCTGGCTCGGTGGGTAGAAGTCGTTCGTAAACGTCTCCACACAATCAATCGCTTGATCTTGTGATTGACAGAATTATTGATAAGACACAGAAGGATGTGATGCAGAAATCCTCTTACAGAGTTCAGTTGATTTGGTTGATCGATGAATCTTGATCTTGATTAAAGGGTTAATTCCCTCAAAAAAACAAAAACACAATCACATTTAAAATCCTCCTCTTGGTTTTGTTTCCAACCGTCTGTGATTTTAATGATTTAAAGATCAAATCTGTGATTTTCAACAAGGAAGATTTAATGTTTCAGTGTTTGTCATGTTCTTGTTGGAGCTCATCGGGTAATTTAATCAGAAATCCTGCGTCTCCTGTGGTGGCGAAGAGAAACCGGATCATTTGTTCCCAGTCGTGTTGATGTCACACTCACACGACACCTGTGAGAGTGACTGAGCACTTTCTCATCAGATTACCAAACGGTATTTTCCGCTTCTTCTTAGCGTGGACGCTAAGTGAGTGGAGTGATGTCAGTTGACGCGATGCCAGCCTCTGCTGCTCCCTCTGCTCGTCCGTCTGCGGCTAATTGGCTCAGGCCGCGACAAACACACTGCGACAGGAAGCGGGAGCAGAAGGTGACTGCGGCGCTCGGCTTAGTTTAGCTCGCCGCCAAAGCCACCGTGTGGCTTCTGGGAACACGGGTCCGAGGCCAGCTCCGGCTAATCGTGAGACGCAGAGCCACCCGATAGGATTAGAGAGGCAGCAGGGTCCCGCCTCCAGCTCCCCGGTGTGCTAAAAAGGGGCAAATCCCGGCCGCGGATTAATCAGGCCTGTCAGCAGCGAGCCAACAGCACGGCCCACAGCTGGAGAGGAGCCGCACGCTTTACACTGTCAACGTGTCGTTTTTAATTTAACAGAGCGAGCTGCCGGTCCACGGCGGTCGCTGCTCTTTGACTTCCTGGCGACTGAAGCAGCATGTGTCTGAATGGCGTGGTTCTCCAGCGCTCTGTAGATCGACTGTAGAAACCTTCTCTCTCTCTCCCTCTAACAGTGATGCCACTAATCTCAACACACCCCCGACTCTCCTCACCCTAACATCTGCAACAAACCAGTGCTACTCAAACCTGTCGGATAATGTCTGTGATTCTTGTTCCTGTTGCTCTGATGACTCACAGGTGGGCGGAGTTTACTGTGACGGATGATCCAGGTAGTGTCTGAACTGCTGTTTAACACAGAGAGGTCAAGTCTTGTTGTTTTACCCTGTAACAGTGATGGTCGTCACAGATGTCCAGATGTTTTCTGGCTGCAGCCTCGTCCTGTTTTGTTTCATTACCAAGTCAATGGCTGAGATCTGGAAACACAGAGACACGACTTTAAAATCACTGGGTCAAGAAGTTTCCTCTGGTCTTTAGTTTTCATGCCTCAGCGGCGGCGACCGTCAGATCCGGAGGTTATGTTTTCCGCACCCTGAGGGAACGTCTTCAAATCTGGCACAAACATTCACTTGGACTCGAGGATGAACTGATTAGATCTAGGTGGGAAAAGGTCAAAGGTCAAGGTCACTGCGACCTCACAAAACACGTTTTCGGGCCATAACTCGCAAATTCATTCACTAATTGTGACGCAAAATGAACTCAAATATCTTTAAGGATTAAATGACGTGATGACATTTTATATCCTTAAAGGTCAAAGGTCAAGGTCACTGTGACATCATAATGTTCTGCAAAAACGCTTCTGGTTTCCCATGAAATACCAGAGAGTTTATCCTTCTTCAAACGAAACATTTTAAAAGAAAACTTCTCTCTCCTTGAGTTTTGTTTCCGTCGCTCTGGCCTCTTGCTCTGTCGGTTATGACAACAGTGTCTTCGCCAAATAGTAATTTGTCTTTGGCGAGGACGATGTGGTTTAATCTTTTTAAGCGGGAACATTACGACAACAGGTCCAGTCGGTCGAGGAACACGAGCAGTCGGACAGATTGGAAACAAAACCTCCAGGTTAGTCGAACTTATCTGGAAAGAGAAAATTGTAAACATCCATCAGGCGGGCCGCTTCAGTGTCGACCCTCTGTGCTCACTGTCGCCGCGTTCAAACTGTTTCTTCTACACTGAGGGATTAATACCAACATTTCAGATGTGCTCACTTTCAGTTCGACCTCTACATAAGGTTTAATAACCTGGATAAACTAATAACGGACTTCTTCTTCTACTCCGTTTCCAGATCTCAGACATTAACTCGGTGGGAACGATGCTCAGATCAGAAATGGAGAGAGATGATTAGAAAGAGTTATCCTTTGAGTTAGCCTCAGTTTTTGGGCTTCCTGTCATCTGTTCTGCCGTTTCACTGTATTTGAGAATATTTGAGTGTAAGTGATAAAACAGCTGCACCACAAGTCTTAGCCACAGAGGCTGTGCAGCATTTTAATCTTACTCATCTCCGCTTAGAAAAACCCCAGAAGCCCTTTTTAAGAAAATACTCCAAACCATAAAAGCAAAGTTAATGTAACAGGACTCTGCTGTTGTGTCTGTCGTCTCTTTGCTCTGAATAGAAAGCTGAAGTGTAGTTTGTGTCAGGGTCAGAGTCGTCGAGCTGAATTAGAAGTAAACATTGGAAAATCTATGACGACTTTAACTGGGAGCTGGTGCAACGTTAGTTATTATTACACATCTTCACAAATAAAAACTCCACCGTACGTCTACTCTCAGTAAACTCCACCCACCTGGTTCTTCTCTACAACTGATTAAATGACTTGCAAATCCTTTTTGACCCAAGTGAGTAACCCCGCCCTCTCCCCTGCTGCCGGCGTCCATCAGTTCCCTCCCGTGGGTCTCTTGATGCTGACTTCCTGCGTCCCTCTTGTCTGTTTTGCTGTGTCAGAGGTCCACAGGTTCAGGCCTCCAAGGCTGCTGCCGGCGCCAAGAAGTACGAGCTGAGCAAGTGGAAGTACGCCGAGCTGCGGGACGCCATCAATACCTCATGTGGTGAGTGTCACGGTCTCACTTGTCACACAACATAAACACATGTGCGTCTGGCCAACACGGTGGAGTCCAGAGTGGCTGCAGAGGAAGAGGTTTCTCATACTTTAGTCCAGAGTGATTTTCAATGACTTGGATGCTCATGGTCCCCAGAGGAACATCTCAGCAGTTTGTTCTAGTGCCACCATCAGGTCAAACCTTCCACTTAACAAACACTTTAGTCCATGAGAAGATATCTCTCTCAAATTGATGCGTAGGTTTTAATTTGTTTAAAGTATTCATGGTGTCCAGAGGATGAATTCGTATCATTTTGGTAACCCCCTGATCTTCCCTAGAGTTTGAACCCTCAGAACTTTCCCTTGCTGAACTCTTTCATAAGTAAAAACAAAACAACAAACAAAAGACGTTTAAACAGTTATTTGCAAATTCTCATGAAATGTTGTTATGCATATTCCTAATCCCCAGAGGTTGAATCTAAATGTCTATAGTATCTTTTCACTGGTGCTATCAGACCAAAATTTCCAGCTGTAAACATGAAATATCAAATTCTAGTAAATTTCCACTGAGTACATTCATGCTCCTGAGAGGATGAACCCTTTCCATTTTCGTCACATTGCACAGTATTAAAATCTAATAGGCAGATTAACATACATTTTGATTCCTGCTCCCCAGAGGATTTTTTTTCATCACTTCATCAGTTTTCCTCTAGCACCAAAATATCAACTATGAGCAGCTATGATCTCATAACTTAACAACAGATTCTTATGAAGCCTTTTGAGCACAATCATACTCCCCAGAGGATACATCGGTTGGCTTCAATGAGCCAGTGCCAGAGACTGATGCTCTATGCATCATTCTCTGAAAAGACTAACGGCCAGACTTTTTACTGTTCTTGATCCTCGAAGGATGAATTAAAATGTGTAAATATTGACGTTTCATAATCTGACAGACTGCCATAAAACTTAATGACCAAATTCATGCTCCCCCGAAGACGAACTACCCTTTGATGGTTGTTTAACCCCATGACCTTTGCTTCAGCAGCCCTGTGAGGACTCTGAGAACAGCTGTAAGTTGTTTGTTCTGAATGTTAACTCCTCTCAAATGTCTGTCTCACTTTCCACACCACTTACCTTTTTTATTTTTGTAAACGCTGCCTCGTTTTTATGAGCACTTCTCCCGTGTGGGAGTGAATTGCTGGTCGAGCAGGACACAGCACAACTCTCTCAAACAGAACTCATCGTGGTGATACGACAGCTGGAGTCTGTTTATTGCAAAATGTGACAATACCAGGTAGCATCATGGTTACATATCGAACAGCTGCGAACTACTTCACCTTTACATTGACATTTAAAAAGTAGTCGACGATATCATCCAGGGCAGAATCGTTGTTATGTCATTTTAATATGTTGATGAATAAAAAAGTGAGACCTTGGATGATTACAGTCAGAGCCACAACTCAGAAGATCGTTTAATTACACGAGCAAGAAAAGGCTGAATTCAGTCTGTGAAAGGAGGGAAGGGAAGCAAGCAAGGGGCAACTGTGGTCCGAGTCTGGCAAAACACCCTCACTAATAACACCTGCTGCCAGATAGGCTTCATCTTTACAGTAATTATTCCAAGGTCGCTCAGTTAATTTGCAAAATGTATATTAATGTTGAGTTGATTAATGTTATATTATCCCTTTAATGAGTAATTTCACTTTTAATTCTTTCACTCTTTTGAAAGAAATGTCTTTTTTTTTTTAAGAGTTAAACCAGAAGATTTGATGTCACTCATCTCTGAACAGTTTTACCGGTTAGCTTAGCTTAGCATGAAGACTGGAACCAGGGAAACCGCTAGAAACACACGTTATATCTTATTTGTTTAATCTGGACAGAAACAACAAAGTATATTTGCATAAATGTCGACCTGTTCCTTTAAGTAATGTTTTGAATGCAGGAGTTTTACTTGTAGTGAAACTGTTTTACAGTTAGTTCTAGTTTTCCTTCTGTGAAACAACAGAAGAAACGACAGGAAGCGTCTGATAGTGGATGTAAATATCCGCCTCCTCGGGCTGATTATGACTCAGTGTTAAAGGTAAAAAGCCGATGTGAGACTATCCACCACTTTCCTTTTTATTCCTCTCATAATATTGAGTTTAACCTGAGAGCTCACCCGTCCTCATCCACGCACCAGGAGAGCGTGGAGGACAGGAGGGTCGACGCCCGCCGGCGCCGCAGAAATTAATGTGCGGAGAAGCGGCGGCGGCGGCGGCCTGTGGGCAGCCGCAATATAAACACACACAAATGACCCGGTTAGCTGTTAACACGCCGCTCAGCTCGCCTCCCAGACAGAGGAGGAGATCGAATACTGATGTGGTCACGTCCGCCGCTCACGATGATCTGCAGCTGCAGAGTAAAAGAAGAGTCCAGCAGCACAGCGACGAGTGGTTGTTGACACCTGCCATGTTCTGGATTATTCTGCTGTGATTTCAGCTCTGCACAGTAAATGGAAGTTTTTTTTTTCTCTCTCTCCCTCTCACCGTTTGTCTGCCCCCAAAGTATTTTTGTTCAGTTGACGTTACCTAAGCACTTAGTGTGCATTAAGCATCTCATTGCACACTGTTAGCCCTCTGCTGTGGATGATAAATTGAATGTGTGTTGTTTTGTTTTTTCTTCTTTCCACTAAAGTCATTTATCTGAATCATCTGGATGTTTTATCTTAGTGCTCCCAGCTGTGTGAAATGTCTTTTGTCAGTGTGTGTGTGTGTGTGTGTGTGTGTGTGTGTGTGTGTGTGTGTGTGTGTGCGCGCATCGGTTTGTGATAATTGAAGTCAGAAGTTTGGAGGGGAAATGATGAATACATCGTCTGATGCGAAGGTGTTGAAAAGATTTAAGTTTTGACCTGATGATGGCGCCAGAGGAAAAGTCAGAATCATCAAGGTTATTATGGTTCATCGTCAGGGGAACATGAACATCTGTTGGTCTGAACGTCGGTAACGGAGGGAAATCAGGAGGATTGTTTCGACTCCTTCTCTCAGTTGTTGCATCAGTCTGTTCATCAGTGTGAACGTCATTCAGACGATCATCAGGGGTCGTCATGAACCATGACCTTCATGGAAATCCATCCAGTAGCTGTTGAGACGTTTCAGACTGGAACATCTGACTGAACGTGTTTTAGCATTTTGCAGAGAAATATTCCGTGTTCTCAAAGTTCATCTGCCCAGACAAATTAAAATTGGCATTTACTTTATTTATTTATTTTAAATGAAACTTGTGAATGTGTCGCCTCCAGACATCGAGCTTCTGGCCGCCTGCAGGGAGGAGTTTCACCGCCGGCTCAAAGTCTACCACGCCTGGAAGTCAAAGAACAAGAAGAGGAACACAGAGACGGAGCAGAGGGCGCCGAAATCTGTCACTGACTACGGTACGACAACAAAACACACTGACACGACACGACACGACACGACAGCGCTAGTGTTTTAAATGTGTGTTGGTTTCTTCACTTGCAGGATTCTGAGCTCCCACAGTGTTAATGTGAATATTTCTTTAATGATGTTTTGTTGTTCGGCTGCTTCACTCTTCAGTTCTGAGGTGTGACGCTTTGCTTCAGAGTTCCTCGCTCACAACAACAAGGGGATTTAAGCTTCTATTCAACTTCACACCGTCATGATTTAAAGTCTGGAAAAGCTGACGAACTCTCTGTCTCGAGACATTTGAAAATTAATTTGAAGATTCATTAAAACTTGAGCATCAGTTTGATCACGCGGATCAGAAAGCTGTGGTTGTGTTTTCATAAATCTCATTCACCGGAGCTCCGCCAAAAACAGTTAAGCCTGGTTCAACTGGTGGATTTACACGAACACGTTGTTTCTGCCGTTTAACTCACAACCTCAAAGACAGAAGATGAAATAGTCACAACCTTGTTAAGTTTTAGTTTAAGTTGTAAAATCCTGTGAGAGTTTCAGAAACCTCCGTGCAGCGTCTGATGAGGCTTCACATGCACTCAGCTGCTACTGAATCTGGACAAGCAGCCTCCAATATAATAATAAAACTGTAATAATGGATCCAAATGAAGTTTTATGGACAATTGTAGGTTGTGTAGACTGAGAATCACACTATCAGGAAAACAAGTGTTATTATTTAGATGCAGTTTCCCGCCTTATTTCCCGTCTGCTTTTCCTCACATCGTCGTCACTCGTCCTCCCTGCAGGTTCTTCTTTTCTAAATAGAAGTTCATGTGTTGAACGTCACTTTTGTAATTACAGCGTCCGTCATCGTCCCATCATTAATCAAACTTCCTTCCTTCTGAAAATGACCAAACGTAACGAAGCTGAGCTCGTCAGGTTCTCAGGTTTAAACCTCAGACTTCTTCTTTAAACGGTTCACTGAGCATCTTTATTGTTCCCTGACATTTGCTTCCACATTTTTCACACTTTTTACACCTTTTAAAAATAATTACAGTGTCGGGAATAAACTGTACAGGCTGCACTGAAGCAGGATTATTTAGGAAACAGAAAAACATGAGATTTAATTCTTCTACTCTTGTATCATGAACACGTCACTAACGAAGGACGGTGATGACGAGCTTCAGTCTGATCGTGTTCAGCTCAGTGATCATCGTGTGTGTGTAACTGTTTCTGTTTTCATTGTCTTGTCTGAATCACGTGTCACATCATCTCACGTGTCATTGTTGCTGCTGTTGCATCACTTCCTGCCGTGTCTGTCCGTGTAACCTGGCATGTTTACTTTCAGATCATGCACCTCCTGTGAGAACAGCATGTAAGTGGTCCTCCAGTGTGTCACTCCACTAACCGCAGAGCTACCCCCCCCCCCCTACTAACCCCCTCCCCAAACCAATAGAGGTCCGCTCTTAACTGGGATCAGGTTCTGTGCTTTGTCGCTGCTCCGTTCGAGGGAGAAGTTCCTCTTTTTTTCAGGATGGGTGGATGGGTTTCCATGGCAACCTCTATAGAGACGTGTGTGGAAGAGATTATTTGAACAATTTTGCGGCATGATGCCGCCGTTTCGTCTTTTTATGACCGGGTGCACCGGTGCCAGCTCTCGCCCATTTGTGCGCCGCCTCACAGACAGCTATAACAGTTTGATAAAGAGCCGAGGTAATTCCTCCGAGCTCTTAAGGCTGCTGTTATTGATACTCCCACACGGAGCACTTCTCAGGGAAGGGAGAGGAGAGAGCGAGAGAGAGAGAGAGAGAGAGGAGGACAGAAGGCTTTCAGGGCAGTTTGCCTGGCTTGTGTTTGGCAGCAGATGACAGCGTCACGTTCGCAGGAGCGTGACGGGAGGAGAAGGCCGCCGCGCCGCTGATCGCGGGAGAAAACCTTGTAAAAGGTGTTGAAGCAGCGAGCAGACTCGTCAGTCCATTCACCCAGGACTTAAAGAAGATTTTAGGTACACGGCAGCCCATTGAGCCACATGAGAGCTGACTGCCAGTCTGTCTTTACAGCTGTGTGTGTTTGGATTTAAAAAAATACATGTTTCATTCAGAATTCAGCCTCATAAAGATTTATTTATTTCATTTAGACAAACCTGGGACTCGAGCTGAAACAAGTTATGTGGCAACTGTTTTAATTATCAGTTAATTATTTGCTGTTTTTCAAGCAAAATCTCCCAAAAAGTTCCCAAAGAAAGTGGGATTTCTTTAATACATTTGGGCTTTTAGAGGAAGAATTAACCTGTAAAACATACGACTGATACAACATTATCCATCAGGCTTGTATCGACACAGTCTGGATAAATACACAAACTCAAACTGGAGCGTTCGACATTTCGTGTGTTTCCTCGCTGGTTTTTCTTCTTCTGTCAGTTTTTGGTTGCTGGTCGATCTTTCATCTGCATGAACACGTCTTGTTTTTCCATCAGCCTTGGAACCTGAATGCATCTCTCGACCCCTGACTGAGTCACCTCACTCACTCTGTAGCAGCGAGCGACAAGCGGTTACCAACAACCTGAGAGCGTCCTGCAGGGAGTTCAGTTCAGAGTAGCGATGAAGTTTCTCTGTTTCTGCTGCTTTTTGTTTTTTTTTTTTTTACTTTCTAAAAGTTGTTGGTTTGGGAAGGTGAAGGTTGTTGGTTCTTTAAGCAACAACATGTTTAAATAAACAACCTTAAAGTGAGAATTATTTTCTCAAATTAATTGATTTCAAAGCTCCTCCAGTGTAAAGGTCTGTGTCCATGTGTAGTGTGATTATAGATCAGCTCTAGCTTCTATATTAATACTGTGAAAGTATCAAAGCCTCAGTCCACAGAGAAATGCACACAGCCTGTATTCAGAAACTGAGCCTTAAAACCAGCCGTCAGGACTTCTGGAACTTTGTGATGTCACAACAAAGCAGTCCCCAAGCCCCGCCCACCTGGACCCACCATCCAAACCTTCCAGGATTTGGTTTCTCTGAGTGTTTTTACCTGAAATCTGCTTTATTTTTATTGGATCACTCAGAAAACAGTCAGCCAATCAGAAGAGAGGCTCAGAGCCTCCTCTCTTCTGATTGGCTCACCGACCTGTTGTTACTAGAGCTCCAGAGAGAAGCCAGAGAGAGGAGATGTAAAGCTACACTGAGATGTTTTTTGGTTCTTAAAACCACAAATATATCTTCTTATGGATCAACACTTTGAATAAGACACAGAAGAAGTTTGAACTATGGGACCTTTAAATAAAAGTGAGGACAAGATGAAGTCCTTGTTAAAATGAAAATGTTTATGATTCAGCGAGCTTCAGCTTCATCACGTAGAGAAGCTTCCTCGATCTCTGTAGATCCTGATCTTACGCTCCACTTCGTAGAAAGATGCAAATTCTGTATGTTTGTTGTTTCTCATGAGGACGCCGCTCGCCTTCATAAACATCTGCCACGCTTCATGTCTCGCTGATCCGCCTCCCGCCACCCCCTCCCCCCGCTGACCCTCCTCCTCCAGCTCTAACAGCAGGACTCGCTGACTGCACTCAGAGACCAGAGACCAGGGAATGGCTCATTATTCAGACCTGATCTGAGAACAGCGGATCGGGCCTGAATGTTTACATGCAGAGAGTTAATGGGGACCTGCGAGAGGAAATGAACCCACTGAGTGGATGTTTGCTCATATTTCAACCTGGTTTGGGATTCTGTTTTTGCATGAGCCTTGTTCCAGTGTGTTCACCTGTGTACTGACAACTGTAGAACTCAGGTTTACTGCGGCTCTGTTAATGCAGCGCAGTTACAGCTGTTTTGCATGTAAACTGATGCTGTTATGTGTTTTTAGCTTCACTCCATCTCCAGTACAGTGGAGGAGAAATCAAAGAGTAATAATGCAGGATAGACGAGCCGAGTTAATGCTGCATTCACTGCATGTCAGGAGGAAGGGAACAAGCCGTTACGACGTGGAAGCGTTCATGCATTATTCCCAGATGGTTTCAGGACGCCCCGTCGTTGCACCACGTATGAGGAAACGTGACGTGACTGATGAGTTGTGATTTGGATGAACTCGCCCTTTAAGTCCGTGCAGCTCAGGCGCTTTAGCTTGTTAATGGTGTCACCACGATGCAGTGACTGAGACAAGTCAACACAACTTCAGGAAACCAAAGAGATAAAATACAAACTCACAAAACGTTTTAACAGTTCCTTAAGAAAAAAGTACTTCTAATTAAGAAAACAAGCAAATTGAGAAAAACTGCTGCAGATACAGAAACACTGTGAATCCCACAGCAAACTGATGGACACTGAACACCTCGTCAGCAATGTTTGAACATGACACAACTTTCATTTTTGTTGTGACATTCAGGTATAAATGGAAATGTGAACTATTCAGAGTGTCAGCCTCTTTACTTTTTACTGACACATGAAGAAATTCACATGAAACACACAAACATAAATCCAACATAACAACAGAACCAAGTTACATCTCAGCTCGTTTCCAGAGGACACATAACGCTGACGAACAACCTTGTCAGTTATAAAAGGCTAATGCTAAATGCAATAATATCAGAACGTAAAAACTAAAGTCACATTAGCTCATTTTCAAACATCATCAGTTGCAGTGTTGAATTGTTGTGTTTCTGTTATCTGCAGCATACGTGTTTTTTTCTCCTTTGCTTCTGTTTTGTTTCCATTTCTATTCGATTCGTTGCAGTGCACTGACCCCTCAGGGCCACCGTAGATTGAGGAGCTTTTTAAACTCATTAAAACGAGCCGTAAATATAGACTTTACTAGAACTGACATGCATTGTTAATTGCTGGTGTGTTTTTGGGTTGTGGACGTTTGTCAGTTTCACACACCGACGTCTTAGTGGTTTTTCTTTTCTCTTAAGAAGCCACCAAACCTCATTTTTGAGCATCTTTTTAGCCTTAAATACTGTATTTTAATTGCATTTTTAAAAATATTTTTAATATATAGTTGCATAATAACAGACACTGAAACACAAGGACATGAAGCGACCAAAATACTGTACTCTACGCAAACCCTCGTTAATCTTGTCTCCAGATGTTGTAGTAGAGGTGCATGAGTTTTAGAGACAAAGAAACAGACACCTGCTCCTGTCGAGGAGAAAACTGGAATTTCCAACTTTGTTCCATCACTTAAAAGCAGCACACCAATATTTTTGATTTTCCTGTGAAGGGAAATTCTCCTTTGTCTTGTGTGAGGTCGTCAGACTGGCACCTCTGCTGGAGCTGGTGCAGACAGTGCGTTGCTCACAGTCTCTGCACTCTCTCATAAGTTCATGCACAGGTTGAAAAACAGGAATAAGGCTGATGAAAAGTAACTGGTTCCCAGGCTGCATGTAAACATGGTCGCTGACTCCTGATTGGCTGCTCTCATCACTTAAAATGCATCTCGCTAACTTTTTGTTTTTCCATCCAATGAACAGCCCAGCAGAACCCAGCCCCGCCCATACCGGCCCGGCAGTACGAGGTGGCGATGAACCGGCAGCAGCGCTACTTCCGCATCCCGTTCATCCGACCGGGCGACCAGTACAAAGACCCGCAGAACAAGAAGAAGGGCTGGTGGTACGCTCACTTCGACGGGCCCTGGATCGCCAGGCAGATGGAGCTGCATCCAGATAAACACCCCATCCTGCTGGTGGCAGGTCAGTACAGTCACTGTTTGGGGGGGGGGGACCATAGAAGAAGAAAGAGTGGAGGGAGGAGGAGACGGAGAGGTGGAGGCTCCGACATCAACAGAAACAAAAGAAACGAGAAGTGACATTTCATCGACCGCTTTAATGGACGTTCAGGAGTTTGACTTTGTGACAGTGCAGCGTATTCATCGTCATCATCTCAGTCAGGTGGTTTCGCTGCCGGCTGTAACGAACAAGACGCTCTGAATCATCCATCAGGGTGTGTGAAATTTCCCATGAGCACTGTGGAGTTGAGCTCCTGTCAGCTCTGATCAGAGCAGCACAGTGACGTGTGCAGAACATATCGACTCGTGTACGTGACATTATCTGACACGCAGCGCAGCGAGGGCTCAGGACATGAAGTTTTTATCAGAGTTACATCATCATTATGAGACGCGGCCGGAGTGTTTTACCGCCAATAAAGACGTGTTGAATCCGTTCAGACGGATTAATAATGAAGCAGGTTTATGCAGATGAGCTCATTAGAGCCAGTGCTCACGTTAACTACACTGTGAGGTGGGATTTGAACGCATGAGGTGAAGTTTTCATTTGTCTCCCGTGTTGTTGCTCTCCACCTTCTTCAGCGGCGGAGGAAGTATTCTCAAAACACTTAAGGTTTCATTTCTCCTTGGCTGAGGGAGATACTTAAGGCTGTTGCACAGGTTTCCTTAGTAAAGGGATAAAAGTTAAGTAATTTACAGCAGTAAAAGAGATTTTACAGCAGTAAAATTCTACTGTTTCCATGGAGACTGTTTGCTGGCATCAGCTTGTGATACCTGTCATCACGTTTGGGAAGACTGTTCGCGTCACAACAAGCTGTAAAATCACAGATTGTAACAAATGACACGTCACAGCACAAAGAAAACAAACAGTTGTTTTGTTTTCACATCTGTCTCACATCTGTGTGTTGATGAGTTCAAACCTCAGGACTCGCTGTTATTAGAGGATTACAGCCGTCTGAGGGACGGTGGCGAGCTCTGGGTCTATGAGACCGTGACGCTGTGTGATGTGAAATGTGTGTGGTCGTCGCTCCGAGACAGGAAACAGATCACGCTGTAGTCAAATAGTTGGTATTTTGGAGCAGCAGTGGTACGTGGGTGAGAAACTACCTCATATAAGAGTCGACTAACAGGCTGCTGGAAATTCATTATTGGCTCTACAGCTGCAGGTGAGTCATACACACTGAATGTAACACACGGCTGAACGTGTTCAGGGGATGAAAAGTGTCGTCTGCAGTTTGTATTTAACTTTACATCCGAGTCCAAACTTCTGAGATGAAGATATTTAAAGGAGCTCCTTGCAAGTTTTGCTATTGCTACATAGCTAACGTTAGCATTAGCAGCTGTTTACTGACCAGTCTTGTCAAGAGCTTCAGTCATTGTTGAGGTTATAATACGACCTTTGAGCAGCTACTTCTTCAGGGCAGACCAGGTGCTGCAGTGACTTGGTATCGGAAAGTGACGAGCTGGGCCATTTGGGCTGGGGCTAGCTGGTTAGCTAACCAGCAACCAATCACGATCCCCTTGTTTTTATTCTTAATGGGGCCCCTTTAGGGAGGTTTCCTTCTGAGATGTCGTTGCAAATTGTCCATTGGTTGTTTCAGGGGGAGGGAGCCACCTTTTGAGACATTGCTGTGGAGTAAAGTTTGGCGGCCCTCGGCAGCCCCCTACCAGCCTGGGGCCCCATGCTAAACGTAACCGAGATCTGTCTCAACATTTAGGCTGTGAACATGTTAAAGTGTTTATTTCCCAGCATCCTTTGGTTTGTCTGAGTGTTCTCTCAGATTCGGGGCGTCTCCTGCAGGGACGGACCAAAAGTACTTGAAACTACTAATTTCTAGTTAAAGCTGCAGAACAAACACTGCGCTCGTTATCGTCATCACGTCGTTGATTCCTAGTTTCTCATGGTCCAGACTTTAACTTTGAAAGGTCACCACTTTATTTATTGAACAGAAACAATGAGGATTTTGTCTCATTTAAAACATGTTAATAAGAAACACAGTGCAACAGCTGCTTGTAAACCTGAGCTACTGTAAATTTCCTCCCCCAGGAAAGGACGACATGGAGATGTGCGAGCTGAGTCTGGAGGAGACGGGCCTGTCGAGGAAGAGGGGAGCAGAGATCCTCCCCCGGCAGTTCGAGGAGATCTGGGAGCGCTGCGGCGGGATCCAGTACCTCCGCAGCGCCATCGAGAACCGACAGGCTCGACCCACCTACGCCACGGCCATGCTGCAGAGCATGTTTAAGTGACGGAGCCACGTGTGTGGGGTGGAGGTGGAGGTGGAGGTGGAGGTGGAGGTGGGGGGGGGGGGCTTCTCACTGCAAACAAAGGGACGAATGCACCAGCTACCTAACACAGATGGCGTCTGAGCGCTCTGCACCAGGTTCTGACTGTAGGGAATTCACGCGAACAGCGATTTTTGTCCTTTTGTTTTTCTTCTGTCGTTAAGTTTTCGTTCTTGCTGGCTTTCGGTTCCTCGATGGGGGCGGGGGGGGCGGGGAAGTTTTGCAGTGAACCCTATGCAGAAAAAAAAAATCATACTAAATGATCACAGCCAGTGGTTTTCCAAGGAAATCTGTTCTCTGTAACATTTCTGCAAGTCTAACTACGAGGCCTTAATACTACTTTAACAGGGTGTAATTGCCAGAAGTAGGACTTCTTCTTTTTTTGTTTTGTTCGAAGCTGCCTCCCCAAACAAGAAAAACTTAATTCCCTGTAATTATGCATTCCTGATTATTACACTCAAGTCTCACTGGTGTGTCGCTTCCATCTTAACAGCTAGCTGGTGACCCCTCCAACTTAAAACCTGCTGTTTACATTGTCTTCATGTGATTCTTACAGGGCAAACAGAAAAAAACAAACTTGCACAAGGAGCTGTGAGCTCTCACCGTGAGGCAGTGCTGCATGAGTGTCAGATGATTCCTCCTGACTGCACTCGTAATTAAATCCAATATTTGATAATAACTTACTTTTTTATTTTACCTTTTGTCTCTCCAGCCGAATGTAACTCCAGACCTCGTTGATTTGTTCATGTAGTGATTCCTTCTTTCTTCTCATCATGTGTGTGATTTGACGTGTGAAGCTAATGAGAAAGGTCCAAAAACTTTTGACTTGGAGACCAAACGTGGCTCTAAACATGAAGCCCTTTTTTTTGGGCAGAGCAGTGATTCAACTCCGTGATTATTCTTTTTCTTTTTTCTTTTTTTTGTCTGGGTTTATCAAGCAAAGCAGAAAATGTGAATTAATTATGCAACTGCTGAGATGCAACTCCACGTGTTGCTGCTGTTCGAGAGCAGATCAGTGCCGCAAAAAAAAGTCATTCACATCATCTTTAGTCTTTAAATTTGATCTTTTCACACGAGGAAACATAATTTGCCAACGCAGTGACTCCCAAGGTAGTTTCACGTGTTTTTCATTGACGTCATCCTTAAAAAAAAAAAAATTAAATCTCCATTCGGCTGTTTTGTTGAATAAATTCACCTGATTCCAGAAAATGTTTGAAAGTTTTAAGATCTCATCTCTCTGCTGTGCGAGAAGCGAGTCGGACGTGTTATTAACTGTGGACGATGCACTGGTACTCAGCCTTGAACTGGAACATTCATACAACACTGAAATATTTTCTATACAGGAAGTGCAGCACGTGCAGACGGCAGTGATATTCCTACTGGACTGTAAAAGTTTATTTTTGAAAGAACAGTTTCTACTTCAGCGGCTCGGGATCGTGAGGTTGTTAAGGGAAGCAATAAATCGTGCAAAACTAAGCTGAGAGATTAAACCGGGCCTCCTGCTGCGTCGTGTACAGAAACAATTTAAAGACAATCTGCCGTGACGTCACACCTGTGCTTTTCACCTGAGGCTGCTGAGTTTGTTCCCGAGCTTTCTGTTCCTCTTGATGCTCTTCTCTGCACAACAGGTGACTGGGATTGTCTGAGAGCACGAAGATCCGCCTTGTTGCAAAGCAGCTGATCCCCTTTACAGACGGCATTAACATGCAGGAGAGCAGCTTGAAATCAATGACTGAATGCACTGAAGGTCTGAGAGTCAGCGAGGGCACGGACACGAGGCTCTGATGTCCTGATCGGATCTAAAGATTTAGTTTAGATGTCTAGATTTAATTCAGCGATTGCTTCCACAGATTGTAATGACTGTATTTCAGTGTTGAGCTGATCTGACTACAAGTTGAAATTTAGCAACTGGAGTAAAACTTTCAATCCAGTTCAGCCCAGTTTCCATGTGTCACTGGACCTGCAAAATACCCAGACCATGCTAATGGGAAGGGACTGGTTTCACAAAGAGACGATTATCCAAAGGCCATTTGTGAGGTCTTAGACTAAAGTTTGATTATCCCGTACATGAGCAGTCACAGGGCTTTTCATCGGAAACGGCCAAACAACCCCAACAACTACCAAAGATGAGAGCTGCTAAACAAAGTCCAAATATAAGAGTAAGATAATCACACTCAACCCAGAATTGAGTTACATCCTTCACTTCCTTCAGACTGGAAAAAAACATTTTGTTTATGAGAAACGAGTGATATCTGGAGGGCGGGTCGGCAGGTTGAGACGAAACACGTCACATAAAGGAACAAAATGCAAAGTTTAGCAAAAACAACGTCGCTGTTGGAGACGACATTGTTTCCAGTTGCATCTGAATTTGAGCTCTGACTGTGAGTGGGGTCTTTGTGAAACCAGCTCCCGACCTTTGAGGCTAGAAGACGTCATCATTTGTTTTGAAACATAGAAACGTGTGCTTACACCCTTCACCACCCTGTAACACATTTTATGATCAACAACTCTTGACTATTGGCCGGATGTGTTTTCTCACCTCCAGATCAAACGCTGCCTTTCGTCCAGGCTTCGTTTCCTCCGGCTGTTTTTCCCTTTAGTTTTGCTGCGTCCTGCTTCAGCCGCTGCTCCCTGTAACATCAAATACATCCAGTACAAAGAAAAAAAAACAGTCAAAATATGATCAGCTCAGGTTCAGATAGGGCTACATGTTCAAAGTCTTTAAAGTTTGGCTTGAATCGCATCAGAAAAGATTGAATTCCTTGTTGTACAGCAGAGAGTTTGTTGGATTTAGCCAGAAACACACGGAAACAACAAACACTGGATCTGAATACGTCCAAATCTCTGTCTGCATGTTAATGCCGAATGCAAAGGGACCACGCTCTGAGCTTTGCCCCATTACGACCTCAGTGTTGGTTTTAACATCATTTCCTGAGATGTAAAAAGAAAATGTTCTGCATTTGCTGCGATCTGTTTCTCTCCACACATTACAATCATTCCTCGGGAAGCACTGCCTTTGTCCACTGTCATTTTTCTAACGCTGATCTCTAACAGATGAATAAATGCATTCCATGTTTCACTCACCTCTCTGCTTCTTCTTTCACTCCAGTTTGAAGCAAGTGACGCTGAATATCTGGGAAAATACCCTTTAAATAACATGAAGAAAACTGACGTCTCTTATTCAACACAAGTTTGTATTTTCAACTATTCATTGTAAAACTCACATAAATGACAGTAACAGCTTAAACAAGAAAAGTCCAAATACAGTTGTTGGGTTTTTTTTTTTGTTTTTTTTTCTGCCAAAAAGCAGCAACAAGCATCAGTAGATCTGCGGACTCGAGAAAAGAGCAGCGATTTACAATCAAGTATTTACATCAACTGTACAAGAGAAATGTGACGGGGACTGTCGAGACCGACCGGCTCACAGAACGTTCACACACACAGTGCTGACGATCCTCTTTGTTTTTTCAGTGGGACACCGTTCTCTGATTTCATCGTGTCAGGAAGGTTCATGTGAGCCAAGTAAGAAAAAAATAAGGGTTTCACTCGCCAGCTTTTTCCTGAGCTTTCAGTCATATTAAAATTCTCTGATTTAGCTGTAGCTCTTCCGCCACGTCGATGACGGCTGAGGAAACTCCATCTCCTGATGAATAGCATGTCATATGACTGAAAGCTTTGTAAAAAGCTAGTAAGTGGACCGTGAGTTGGGAATAGGAAAACAAAACATTTCCGAAGTCAAGACTGAACCTTCACGCTCACGGCTGACATTAACTTTTGTACAAACATTCGTGATCCCCAGAGGATGAATCCCACTGACTCTGATGATCCTCTGACGTTTCCTCTAGCGCCACCATCAGGTTTTTAAATTTTACTATTACTTTGGTTTATGACCAAATACCTGCGACATTCCCATCAGCCTCAGCTGCACTCTGTCTTTCGTGCTACTGTTAACATGCTAACACACTAAGCTAAGATGGTGAGCATGACAAACATTATACCTGCTTAACATCAGCATATTAGCATTGTCCTTGTTATCACTGATGATGTTGATGCCCATCATCCTGGTTCAAAATAATTAACGGGATAATAAGGACAAATTTCAGCTTTTTTCTTTAGTAAAACTGGATATTTTCACCTCTAAAAAAATCCTTCAAATCAAACAATCTGAGACGAAAAAATCACAACTCAGGTCCCGTGGGGATTGGTCACAAGTAGCTATCACTTAATTTGAGGGGTCACAAACCAAAAAAGGTGGTGAACCATTGATTTAGATGGCCATCAAACTATCTCACTGACCTCATCTGAAAAGTGTATTGTAAAGTTGTGGAATGGTTTTGGGAGGCCGACAGAAAGTCTCTTTAAAGTCATAACAGACCTAAACAATGAAAGCCGATCCCTGATGTGAGGTCACATCGTTTCCTTCTCACTTCACAGCAGAACCTGAGTATTTTTAACAAAGACAAACCTATTCACTACAGAAACTCAGTCAGCAGACGTTGTACAAAAACAGTCCGGGGTCGATCAATATCCACCTGATCGACGTCGTCTGCTGAGCTCCTCTCCGTCGTCTCGCTGCTCATGGCGGCAGAAGACGACGACTGAGTGACAGTTTTTTGTAGTGGCCTAATTGTCCGTCTTCCCGTGAAGGGAAGTTGTGTGATGTGAAGAGTTTGTCCTGAAAACTCCTCGGCTCAACATCGTCTCTGATTTTTAACCAAACGTCTGAGACCTCGACGAGTCTCAGGTTCCTGCTGCTGAGTCCAGTTTCATCCAGTCTGCAGAGGAAAAAGAAACGAGATTAAAGGAGCATTCCACCAATTTTACATATCAAAGTCAGTTTACCTGTCACTAGACAACACAGATTTACAGAGGTCTTGTACTATATTGACTGAAGATGTGGAGGGATCCTACACCAGGGAGTACAAGTCAGGATCTCTCTGCTGGATCCATTTAGATCACTAGTTTTA